GGGCAGTAGTCTAGTACATAATGTAGCGTGTAGTAATCTCGTAGTCTAGTAGTGGGTAGTAGTCTAGTAATGGGTAGTAGTCTAGTACATAATGTAGAGTGTAGTAGTCTCGTAGTCTAGTAGTGGGTAGAGGTCTAGTAGTGGGTAGTAGTCTAGTAGTGGGTAGTAGTCTAGCAGTGGATACTAGTCTAGTATATAATGTGGTGTGTGGTAGTCTCGTAGGCTAGTAGTGGGTAGAAGTCTAGTAGTTGGTAGATGTCTAGTAGTGGGAAGAAGTCTAGTAGTGGGTAGAAGTCTAGTAGTGGGTAGTAGTCTAGTAAATAATGTAGCGTGTAGTAGTCTCGTAGTCTAGTAGTGGGTAGAAGTCTAGTAGTTGGTAGATGTCTAGTAGTGGGTAGTAGTCTAGTAGTGGGTAGAAGTCTAGTAGTGGGCAGTAATATAGTACATAATGTAGTGTGTAGTAGTCTCGTAGTCTAGTAGTGGGTAGTAGTCTAGTACATAATGTAGTTTGTAGTAGTCTCGTAATCTAGTAGTGGGCAGAAGTCTAGTAGAGGGTAGTAGTCTAGTACATAATGTAGTTTGTAGTAGTCTCGTAATCTAGTAGTGGGTAGTAGTCTAGAAGTGGGTAGTAGTCTAGTACATAATGTAGGGTGTAGTAATCTCGCAGACTAGTAGTGGGTAGTAGTCTAGTAGTAGGTAGTAGTCTAGTAGTGGATACTAGTCTAGTATATAATGTGGTGTGTGGTAGTCTCGTAGGCTAGTAGTGGGTAGAAGTCTAGTAGTTGGTAGATGTCTAGTAGTGGGTAGTAGTCTAGTACATAATGTAGTGTGTAGTAATCTCGTAGTCTAGTAGTGGGTAGTAGTCTAGTAGTGGGTAGTAGTCTAGTACATAATGTAGGGTGTAGTAATCTCGTAGACTAGTAGTGGGTAGTAGTCTAGTAGTGGGTAGTAGTCTAGTACATTATGTAGTGTGTAGTAGTCTCGTAGTTTCGTAAAATAGAAATTGCGTAGATATTCTAAATTCACTGTAATACTACCACAGCGCGGTACGTGTACACTGTTACTTGATTTAATGATGTTTTAGCTGTCTCATGGGTAATCGAACACAGGTTAGCATCCGGGTCTTGTTGAGGGTGTGACGTCATCACACGTTACTTCCAGATTAGTACGTGTAGCACTTAATGCTAATGCAAGGGTTAAAATCCTTTTATCGGTACAAATGTTCATTAATCAGATATCACTACCGATATGTTTCCGAACCAATCTTTTATTGAAATACGATTTAGATAATTGCATTTAAGTGTATATAATTTATTTAAATGCTAGATTACCGATTGTACAAATGTATATAGACATTTGTTCTCCCTCTTGGCTAAGAATGGATATGCGGTTGTCATGGCCCCGCCTCTGTACCACACTATAACATAGAATCCCATGAAATCAAATTCATTTCATTCTTTATAGGTATTTGCTTACTTCCATCCATCAAGGAAGGCATCCATGTTCTGTGTCGCAGCGTCGGTGTTTTAATGTACATTTGAAACGTTAAAAATGGAATTCGGCTTCATTGACAAGATAGATTTTTGTGATTTTGTTCACCGGAACAAGAATTCTGGTTTGAGCATAGAATCTTCATTTGAGTAAGATAATGGTTTGATGAATACGGGCCCAGGAATTTCGAATTAGTAACATACAAACGGAAATATTTCAAATTGTCTTTATGTTTTTTCTATACACAGTACATATGTTTATAGATTAGAAATGCCCTCGGTAATGATGATCTTATGGTCTTGTGATATATCTTCGAACCGGTTCATTATAACTGAATTACTAATACTTGCACTGTTCACGTGGTAGATTGTGATTACCTTTCATTGAGACTGTACTCTCTTTGTTAAGGGTCCTTGTCTCACTGCACTTCCGTTGACCAGGTAACTCAACCGGTTAGAGCATAGTGTAATGATTTGAAGTACATGGTTCGAATCCCGGTCCAGCCTCGCAGCATTTTTACACTCAGAACACTATCTTTTATCAATTTATCTTTATTCTTATCCATAATATTCCCACAGAAATGAGTGATGAAAGCTGTTTGGTGTCAGTGACGAAAACAATAGTTTCCAATGCGTAGTTGCTGTCTTTAGAAATGATACGGGGATCCTTATGTATGTTGTTATATTACATAAGATTTTTAAGGACATTCCTCCGTGTGTGCTATGTAAGCGTGCATGTATGCATGTGTGCCGGAGACGGTATTCTTGTTTAGTGGAAGTGGACTGGGTCGATCGTCGGCGACCAAATAGCTCAATTGGTAGAGCGTCCGTTTAGAGTTCGGAAGGATACGGGTTCGAAGCCCGGCCTGGCCGTGTATTTGACCTCTCCTGTTACAGTGGTGCCTTTGACCAACCCTTGTTTCGAGCATTTGGTGTATGCTTGGCAGGGGGATACCCGATCCTGGGTTGTAGATAGCTGTGTCTTTGGGGGCGAAGACTTAGAAAAGGGAGGGAGGAATGTAGCGGCACTGGACTGGGTCGATCGTCGGCGACCAGAAAGCTCAATTGGTAGAGCGTCCGTCTAGAGTTCGGAAGGTCCCAGGTTCGAACCCCGGTCTGGCCGTGCATTTTTCCTCTCCTGTTACACATGCATGAATAATTCTAATATTTGATCGTTATTGATGTCAAATAATCTCTTACATATCACACGACACACACGAGTAACCTAAATATCAATATAAACTTTATTTATTTTACAACAATTATGAAACAAGTTATTTCAACTTATATTAATCACTCTTGTTGGCCCGGTTGTTAGCGCGTGGGTGTCTTATTATGGGAGGAAACCGGAGTACCCGGAGAAAACCCACGTGGTCGGGTGGTCGGGCAGGTGACCCCAACCTGTTCACGTCCGATCGGGGAATCGAACCCCGGCCGCCTTGGTGAAAGGCAAGTGCGCTATCCACTGCACCACCCGACCACCCGATTTATTAATAAATATTTTTTATTTATTTTTTAGTAATTTGAAATGATCAGTTGAATGTTAACACAGACATTTCCATTTTCTTTGTCAACCTTTGTATTTTCATATCGTCACCGAATAAATTATTATTATGACGTCATACCAATGATGACACCAATCTGGCCCTATGCTATCAATCAACTCAATGATGGTAATTTGAAATCTGGACAGGTGGCTATATTTTGTTAATATCTTGTGTAGCTAATGTAAATTATGAATACCCGTTATGGACCTAAACAGTATAGCGATGTAAATATGAAGATATATTGACCCCCATTGAGTAGGACATATTGTTTATCTATATTGCATTGCTGTTGTGTTGTTTCGTTATTGAAATCAAGTGTCGGGGAACATAATTCATTGACGATAACGACAAAGGTAATGTTGATATCGACAATGATAACGACAAAGGTAATGTTGATATAGACAATGATAACGACGATGGTTGTCACCATGTGTTTGTAGTCTCGTTCAACCAGACGCTTGGTCACTTGTAATTCAGCGTAGATGGTGCAGACAACAAGAGTCTGTTTGTACGAGACTACGAGTGTTGGTTGTTATAGGCTAACACTTGATAGCGTCAGGATTATTTAGGCACCATATCCCGTAGGAGCTCCGTTCGTGTCTACACAGTTAACGTGACAGATTATCGGCGTGGGCGGAAAATCAATGCACATTTGATGTCAAATTACGGAAGCAGTTTCTCTTCCCACGTTTGGAATCACAGAGCGATCGTTTCTGATTTTAAATGAAGAGGTTTTTTTTTGCTTAAAGCGTAATTTCTCCTCAAAAAAAAAACAAGCATATACTGCTCAGATTTGTTATTTTCAATTCCTGCAGTAATAACGAACCTCGAATTGCATATATGCTCGTTAAATCCCAGTTATCCCTGCCAGTTGTGAAGGGAAAATCAAATCGCACAAACGTGTACGTGATGACCTACAGTCCAACTAGTTTTTACATCAAGATTCGGGAGAGAGAAGCATAATAGCTGACGTTTTGAAACCTGTTATACGTGACGTCATTGCATTGACATTATGGTCTGAGGAATAGCTACTACTAACTACCAACTGGCAGCTGGCTTATCCTCACAGATATTTACAATCATTCAACAAAATTCTTGTTATGGATGTTTAAAAACTGTTTTATGCACAACTACATCACCATGTCAAGTTATAAAAATGTTAAGACTTTTGGATTCCGAGGTAAGGGCCTCACAAGCCCCCAACCCCTAAACACGAACTATTTTTAGTAACAGTGACCTTTACCTTGACGACGGACGGCCACTGTGCTTACTATAGGGGATCCGATGCGAGCCTTAACGAGAAATACAAGTTAAGACAGGCAAAGCAAAATGAAGTCCAAACTGTCACAGATGAATACGTTATACACATTTCCGTCGCCAGTGTGCCATTAAACTGTTATTACGTGTCGCAATGACACCAGGACATAACTGGATTGCTCTCCTGTCTCTCCCTCACCTAGCGTATCTCCCTGATACTCGTTGATACGCGCTATCCCCCGACCGCAGTAGGTTGGTAACTAATCGAGGGTAGACACCCTCTAATTTATAAGAGGAGCATCAGAGACTTTGTTATCTATAAAATAATTATTGAACTGTACCAATATAAACGCTAACCTACATATTCAAAATATTGTACGTTACAGAGAAAGGGTTTAAGATATAATAACACAATGTCATCTACATATACAGAAGCTAAAATGTTATCAAGTAAAAACGATCATCAATATATCTATTAAAAATGTAGGCATTCTGAAGCTGAGTTTAAACATTTCAAACGTGTTTAACAAAAGTATTGTAACTTCATAACAATTATTTTCTGAAATTTTCTGTTTCTCTAGAAATTATGATGTCATGTTCATGTTTCTTCAAAACGTCAAAGCATATCGTTTCAAACGCCTGGTGTCTATTACGCTAAATAGCTTTTACGATTTGATATACAAATACAAACATACCTCTATTTTAGGTCAAGGTCAATGGAGGAAACTAAAGTAATATTTAGCAAGAAGGGCCTGAAACGGAACGGCTACACAATACACGATGACGTGGATAACAATTATCATGACGTAGATAACAATTATGAGGACTGGGAACGAGAGTACTACTCAGATGAAGATGACGTGTTCATGGAAGGGCCAAAGATGGACCGGGCGTCTGCGTCAAAACCACTCATGCATCCTCGACAAAGGCCAAAGGTCAAAAGCCGTACGCCGAACTGTCGATGTCGCAAACAGTTAAAAACGATAACGTGTTTCTTAGTTATTGTGTTATCTCTAGGGTCGCTAATGACATTGATAATATATCTATACAACAAACCTCCGGGTAAAACGAAAGACAAAGAGGGACCGGAAATAGAATCGCAATCTGCTGATATACCGGAAGTGGTTGGCTGTGATTCGTTTAGTGTGGAGGATGTTTGGGTAATGGGGTTTCCTAAGCTTATAACAGAGTCTGCCTTCCGCTTAGTGGATGTAAACCAGGACGGTATCCTTGACATCATCCTGGGATTCGGTACAGGTACGTCTACCTCTCTCTACTATTTGTTTTATTGGGGATAAACATGATATTTTACTGTTATTGCATTCCTCTATACAATGAAAATTGCAAAACGCAGTAAATATAAAATGCTACTGAAGTACTCTTAATTACTAAATACCAATAATTGATCAATCAAACAGGTTTTTATACTCAAAGAAATAGTTCTTCACAGTCGTGCACTGATTTTTGTATTATTTAACTCAAAAAGTCACAATTTGTTCTGCAATAAAATGTAATCAGTGTTTATATCAGATATATGGATTGCTTTGATTTCATAACAACCCCGACAGAAAAATGTTTAGTTTCAAAATTCTGAAATTATGTAGTTTGAAAATAACGACGTGTCTGGAGTTAATTTTGCGTACAATATTAGAACATAATGGTTTTGCCACTGACAGGACTATCATTGAGTTTTGTGTAAAATTAACAGGTACATGCATATATATATTTCTGTTCTCCGGGTATACTTTTTATTAAGATTATATGAGCTACGTGTAACCAATATACATGTTGTTTTGGTTTTTACAGGAGCCGATGGGTACTACCTTCCAGATATTGTCTGTGATATTTATTTTAACGGGACACATCCGTGTTTTGGCGGGTTGATGGCACTGGAAGGCGCCACTGGTAGGGAACTTTGGCGTCATTATTCTCCGCACGAGCTGTTTGGCGTGAATTGTAACGCGGATTTAAACCAAGATGGTGTCCTCGATTGTTTGGCCGGGGGCCGTGCCAATGTAAGTGCTCTACTGTCTGAAGTATCAAAATCCGTAAAGCCTTTATTTTCTTTGGCCAAATTATCCGTCCTACAGCCAGTGTAATCCATGCTGACATTTATACAGCCAACTGCCTTTGTCTTTACAGAAGTAACAATGACGAAACTGGTATGATTTTATGGGTATCTAAAACACTAGGTTGAGAGCAATTCAGGGTTCGGGCCCGTATTCACGAAACCGTTCTCATACTCAAGCATGGGTTCTGTGCTCAAAGCTACTTTCTTGTAACTCGTTAAAATCATGTTAAACGATCGAAATGTCAAATGTAAACATTGAACACAAAATTCGGCTTTAAGTCACTTTAAATGTTTTCAAGTAATTGACAAAATAAGATTATTTTTTATTAATCATCACAGAAAACAATAAATTCGGATCAAGTGCAAAATCCATATTTCAGCATAGGAGCGGTTTCAAGAGTACGGACCCTGGTAATAATTTCCTCGTACGTTTAATCATAATGTAAGCAGATTTTTTTTAATCATATATATATTTGTCACCCTTCTAATTTGTAACACTCTATCTGTTTGGATATCTTGCCGGGGTCTATATTTCTATAGACCCCGGCAGAGCAGGGTCTAAAAAAGCACGTGCGAAGGGAGATAACCCAAACTAAAATCTCTCTTCATAACAACAAAGATGGCGTCCGACACACACACAAGCGTTCGATGTGTGCCAATTCTTCTCAGGATGTAATAGCCTACTTAATTGACTGTAAATTCAACGAAACAGGCAATGAGGGGGCCTCTAGGTTGCTTATTACAAAGATGGTAGCGTATTGTCCGAAATATTGCCGAAAATGTGTCCGGTAGGGACTATTTTGGTAGCAGTCAAGTACAACTCAAACTCAAAAGTGACTTATAAATTTGCAGAAAAAACGTAATAAAAGATTGTCAGGGTGAAAATTCGTTATATGTAGGTGAGAAGGGGTCCACTGGCTCATATACCTCTTTGGTTTTCATAGACCACTCGCCTTCGTCTCGGGGTCTATAAAAACAGACGGGGTTAATGAGCCCGTAGACCCATCCTAACCCAGAGATAACTAATGATATCACTACTGACGTTTGTCTATGTCCCATATATATCACAATAACAAATTCGATGTACTTAATGAATTTCATAGTACGAAGGAAAGCAACATTCTTCATTATAGAAGGGAGATCACTCTCATTCGTGATGTTTTACTACCTGGCAGGCCTTCCAAGCTGTAAGTGGACGGGACGGCTCTCTGTTGTGGAACTTTGACTATGGTAAAGAGGAGATTATGAACCTGTATACACCTCAGATCATCCGGGACCTTGACGGAGACGGCACTGTCGATATCCTTACAATGCACGGGGGTGACCCGCTACAGGAACCAGGTCAGTGCGCATGTACAAATTTCCTACAACAACAAGGCTATCAATCAATTTCACGCAGAGTGAAGCTATATATCATCGACTTGTTAAAATGATTTTAAATAGTATGACTCGTGGCGGTGTAAAAAAAAACGCCACCAGCTTAATTAACATTAGTATTACTGATATATAGTCTTATACTCTTTTACAATGTGATATACGTACATGTAATACGAAAAAATGTATTGGATGCCTTTTCGTTTTTCATCCCTATATATCTCGCTTTAAATATTATTTGTGATCGAACTGTTTTACTCACTTGGAATACAAATGGAATGAACACTTTGTAATATAACAGAAACTTCGAACTGTTATATATAACTCTTACAGGAAGCAAGTACAGACTATCAGCACGGATTATATTATTTAGCGGAAGGACGGGGCAAATAATAAAGAAAATTGGCGTACCTGATTACCGGGAGTCGTATTATTCGCCACAGCTTTACACGATGACTGACGGCACAGATATCGTTTTATACGGGACTGGGGGCGAGACACATCCAGGTAGTCTGTGGAGCATCACGCTGGATAACCTGTACCGCGGGGAAATACAAAATGTGAGCATTAATCTTCATTACTTGAGGTTATGTCATCACATGTTTACCTTTGTACAAATGTGGTTATCCAGGTCAATACCTCCGTACATGTAAACAAACCTGTGTATTCGGTCTTTATAAGGTGTATCCGGTCAGTAGAGATATATCTGTATTCTATAGCCGACCAATGCCCGTACCTTACAACATATCTCTCGTATTGAGAACCCTTACTTGGCTATTCATTATATAACAGGGAAATATTTCAACGTTAATTGTTTGTTTCTAACCACAATATATTTGTACTGACTCAATGTGAGTTTCTTGGGATCATCAGCTGATAGCAATGAACCAACTTATTACTGACATTTTATATTTAGATATGTCTATGGTAGATTAACTTTTTTGAATTAAATATATTAAACTTATTTATCCTTTTTACTAATTCTAAAAGCCAAAATGTTCTCTTTTTTAAATGCTTCTATTTACCGAGTCGATTTAAAAACTGATTACATTTCAACTTTCAAAAAATAGAATCGTTAACAAAAAAAACTTGTATGTACAATATTAAACTAGACATTCTAATACTCGGTCAATAACGTCACTTCCGTTTCCATACTGCAGTCACGACTAGTGTATACGGACGAGTATAAGGGGATCATGACGCCTCCAGTGTTACTAGACCTGACGGGAGATGGCGTGGACGATATCGTCATGGCAATGTTTAACTCCTCCGTGTTGGCGATAGATGGCGCCACATACAGCGTTCTCTGGAACAGAACCTTCCCGTGGTCAGAGTCTTACAAGTAAGGAATAGACACAACTAGATTTTCCATTAGCAGTAAACAAATGGTTCTCCATTCGTTTGCAAATTTATTGTTCGAAACAGAATCTGTTATTACCATTTTATACGGATTGCGATACCTTTGTTGAAGAGGTTTTAATATCAGGCAAAACATGTCGAGTCAATATTATTGGCATAACTTGAATATGTTCTGTTAGAACAAATATGACTGAATATTTCTTTGATAGAAAAGTGGATCTAGTCCTGTCTCCAGTTCATGGTGATTTACTTTTAATGTCTCACAAGTAACTTCTGGTATCGATATTTTTTTTATTTTGTGTATATAAATCCTAACCTGTCGTGTGTGTCCGTAGTACGCCAGCCCCAGGGTTCTACAACAATGATGACGTACCGGACTTCATGGTCAAGTACGCCCACGGACCTGGCTTCCCTATCTACTACCGGTCACAGGTACGTCACTTCCGTTTTCATTGGATTTCGGTTCCTCTGTAAGTAGGTTAAGGTTGGTTTGGGTCTTACTGATTTTGCTATTCTGCTACCACTAGCCCCCCCACCAATGGGTCGTGGGTTCGAGACCTACGTTGGGCAGTCGCCGGCCGAAAGTCGGTGGGTTTTCTCCAGGAACTCCGGCTTTCCTCCACCACCAAAATATGGCACGACCTTAAATGACCATAGCTGTTAATAGGACGTAAAACACAAACAAACCCAAACGTTACTGAGTAGTTAAACGTCCCATTTACAGCAAAGGACATGAAAGGACGTACAATGTACAACAATGTTTGTGGTGTATAAAGCAGGGTTTTTTGGTGTATTTGTGTTGATAGTCACCAAATTCGGTAATAAGTTAACATTTCTTATAAAAATGTTCGTTACATTCACCAACTTAACTACATCTCTTGTAGGTACATATACATGTATGTTATTACTGTAGATTGCTTGTGTTTCCGAACGGCACTACAAGACTCTTCCCGTATATGTGATTTACACATATATAGTAGCACTAGATACGTCTAAAACTCATATGTATGACTAAATGGGACTCTGTTCCGTTTACTTTAAATATGTTTATTCAGCAATGAATACGGTCTGAAAAGACACACAAAGTAGTGGTAAATTGCACAATGATAATTAGCATGAATTACGTATAGAAACTAATCATAACATACAATCCTCTATCTCTCCCAAGTCTTTGGTACACGTAAGTAATAGGGTCACTCGTATTAGTCCTATGAACAAAGACTGATGTGAAATATGAGAATTATTAAGAAATGTCCGACTAATTGTCCTAAAATAAACAAAATGAAGCACTGAGTCTCCGTGAAAAGTTGCACAACAGATATAACACTTAGGAAATGTTCCAAGTAGAAACAAGTCAATTGTTATTTGGACATTTTATAATCTGAATGCCAAGCTGGTTTCTTTGTGGCACGACCAGAAGTCCGGATCGGTGCAGGGGACGGAACTACTGCTTGTGGCGTATGTGTCGAGATAGGTGGCATCGTTGCCGGGGGTGTGGTGATTTTGCTCACTGGGGTTGCAGGAGAATCAAACGCTAGATGACGTCGACTGAAGATGTCTCGAATACCAAATGGTGGTGAAGGGTGATCAACATCAGATGATGAACGAGGCGAACGTTGTATGGTTCTAGTAGTCAACGGAGTGGATGGTGGAGGACTCGTATCCTTACGGGGAGGGTTGCTCTCTTCACCGACGACGGTGTCTGGGGCGTTAGAAGTAGGAGACGTCGTACGATGGGAGAGTCCAATTTGATTGTCAATTGTGTAGCGCGCTGGTGGTGTAACGACTGGGATATACTTCCTTAGGAATTTCCTGTTGCGTAAGGTAACACGGCCAGATCCGTCAACCCGAACTACATATTGATCAAACTGGCGAACTTCGGTAATGATTCCAGTCTTGTCCCATTTAAGGGGGTGAGGACCAACTTGATTTTGGATGCGTACATGATCTCCAACTGCAAGAGGTGAGAGGCGTTTGGTGTGTTCAGACCAACGTTCACTTTCTCGCATGTGACGATTCCGTAAAGCCTCCTCGCGAGCTGCTAAAGTCTCCAGCCAAGTGTTGTGTGGAATGTACCGACCGGGTGGTATAGGAATAAAGTCTCGTATAGGACGACCGAACACGCACATAGCAGGGGATAGTTTTGTGTCTCTGTCAGGTGTGTTACGATACTGGAGAATAGCGCGTTGGAATGCGTCGGTGTTTAAGTCGCCATTGGGACTGGTGTTGCCAGTGATCAGACGCTTCACTGTTTTGACTCCCACTTCAGCACGGCAGTTACTATGGGGAAAAGCTACAGATGACAGTCTATGGTGAACGCCCCCAGTTCCTGAGAAAACGACGTGTGGTCGCAGAAGTGAACTCGGGTCCACCATCTGATGCTAGTTCATCAGGGATACCAAAAGAAACAAATGTCCTTCGGAGACAGTCTATTAAACCATTGGAACCATCAGAGGCTTTCTCCACCACCGGCCAGTTGGAATAACGATCAACTACCACTACATGTAGGTAATTACAGCCCATGTAGTGGCAGAAATCTGCACACACGCATTGGAATGGATAATCAGGAGTTATCAAAGGAGTCGGTGGTGCATTCGGGTTAGATGGAGCAATACGGTTGCAGTGGTTACAAGTTGCGCGTAGGGAGGCGATGGCAGGCGTGATACCAGGCCAGAAGATTGACGCGTCAGCTCTTGAAGTCATAGATGTCACCCCTTGATATGCCGAATGCAGGGAGGCAAGGGTTTCTTCCCGGAGTGATGGTGGAATGACTATTCTGTCTTTATAAAGTACTACACCATCAACCGTATGAAGGTCGTCGCGGAATGGGAAATATTCTTGCAGTGGCCTAGGCAGCTCGTGACGGGTTCCCGGTATACCGGCCTCTATCAGAGCGATTAACGCCAGCATGTTGTCATCGCTGGTAGTAGTGGTTCTAACGCGCTCCCAGGTGACGGATCGTAAATTGATCGCATCTAGTGTTGAAGAAGCTGATGCCACGACATGCTCCTCGACAAATGCTAGTCCTGATGAAGGCATGCGTAGACCACTCATTAGACCAAAGTGGGCGATGTCGACGGCAGAAAATGACAGTGCTGCAATGTCGTCCTCGAGCACAAGTTTCTCAGGCTCACCAATAGGATGTCGGGAGATACAATCCGCAGCACGATGTCGTATGCCAGGCACATGAAGCATTCGAAAGCGGTATCGTAGTGTTTTCTCCTTGAGGTTACGAAGTCTGTTGTTAGGAATGTTTTCCAGTGATCTATCGCCAAATAACTTCAACAATGGCTTATGATCAACAGCTATGATCAAGTTGTCGCACCCAAGAACGAAGTGGCGAGCTTTATCAAGGGCATCTGCTACTGCTAGGGCCTCGCCCTCAACCGGCGCGTAACGCGTCTCTGCCGCATGTGTGAACCGACTACCTACGAGTGTAACTTTCCAACCATCACGGCAGCATAGCAGGCTTTCATTAGCACAAGCGCAGTGTTTCTGTAGCAACCAAAATCCAATGCCAGTCTTTGACCAGTCTGTCGCAAGACACGTCAATTTACTTGGGTCGAAAATCCGTACACCCTGCTCAATCTCGTTGGCAATGACAATTTTAGATTCCTCAAAAAGTCGTTGGAGATATTCAGTCCACTGAAACGGTTGATCTGGTTTGAGCATCTGACGGAAAGGAAGCATATTCTCAGTCATACTGAAGGCATATGACACCTGATTGACTAGTCCAGACCATGACCGCACATCTGTGATGTTCCTGGGTGTCGGAAAATCCAGGATGGCGCGTAGGTATTTCTGTGAAGGTCGTACACTATCGTTGGTTATTTCAAACCCAGCGAATTCGAGTGTGTCCTCTGCAAATACAAATTTGTCAGGGTTCAGCGTTATACCGTTACGGCCGCATATGTCAAGCCACTGGACTGCCTGTAAGAAGCTTTCTTCAACAGTGTCTGACCATAGAAGAACATCGTCGACACATTTGGTTTTGTTGGGGATGTCCAAAACAAGCTCGTCATAGCGCCTGGTGTATCCGTTGCCCGATGCAATGTAGCCTTGGGGTACAGTTTTGTAACGGTACCTCCCCCAAGGAGTAATGAACGTGGTCAAGTGTCTGTCCTCTTTGCAGATGGGTACACTGTGATAACCGTTCCATGCATCAAATAATGTCTTCTTCTTTCCATGTGGAATAGACCGGGCTTGGTGGAATGGCGAAGGGGTGTGATGAGTCTCGCGAGTGGCATGTGCATTTAAGGGTTGGAAGTCAACAGTGCGCCGAGGTGTACCATTCTTTTTCGCACAAATAACCATTCTATGGCACCAAGTGACAGGCTCACCANAGTACGTCACGCATGATAGCGTCAGTGTAATTGACGTCGGCTGTACATCCGGTGCACTTAATCACAAACTTTCATATACCGGCCTGTCCTTTAAGTCTAGCACCGTAACTCCGGACAGTTTCATCACGATCCTGTCGCATATTATGTAGCGTCACTCTTGCAACCATATTGTTTTCCTCACGTACTGCGAGCTTTTTAATTGCAGCTAAAACCTCATCTATTGTTTTGTCAGCGAGGCTGCCACCGGCTGATCGAGTCAAGTCTTTCCGTAATGGCTCGTCACAGCATTCCAGTAGCTGGATTACTTTATCGCGTCCAGTGATTTTCGTGGCACTGACATAGTCCGACCACCGAGATTGGAAATATGCCCATTCCTCGCTAGATCCTGCGGCACTGAGCGTGGGTCGCTTAACTTTCTCAACTTTAGCAGCGTGTTCTCGTTTGGGTATGTGTACAGCGGAGTGAGCCGTGATGAGTGCCGCGACGATAGTGGCATCCAGGTCATCCGTGACATAGTCGCAGTCTGTGATAGGGCAGGCTACAGCTGGCATTGTGGTGATGTGGCAATGATGGGGTTCAGTATTCCGACCGTGTTCATAAATGGGACTCTGTTCCGTTTACTTTAAATATGTTTATTCAGCAATGAACACGGTCTGAAAAGACACACAAAGTAGTGGTAAATTGTACAATGATAATTAGCATGAATTACGTATAGAAACTAATCATAACATACAATCCTCTAATGACTTTCACGTGAATGGTATTATTTTATAATTCCTGAATGTAACAGTTTCACGTAAATATTTGTACCAGACAAAACATAATAAAATCGTATGTATGCTCTTCACGTAAATGGAAGAACCAATCAAACCCCTGAAAACTGTATGTACGATTGTCACATTAAGAGAAGTGTCAGACAAATTATTGTATGGTTAATTCGCATGTAAATGGTAGAACCAACCCCCGTATGTATAACCTACACCTGGATGGCAGTACGAGATACCTTCCCGTATGTCTGGTTTGCAAGTGAACTGTAGTACAGTAAAACCTCGATACCATGCCCCTCGTTTTATTTTCTACCTCGGTTACCGCCAATTTATCTTAAGGTCCTTTTCGTTGTTTTCTCAAGAATTCCTTACTCAGTTCCCTCTATTTATCCCCAAACCCCTTCAAAATGCCATGATTTCTCTGTATAAATGTTGGCACTATAACGAGGTTTTGCTGTACATGTGCTAGATACGTTCCCATGTTTTACAGGTGTATGTTAATTTGTAGTAAATCAATCTTGTATGTGTGATTTACTATTACGTGTTACAGACAACAATACTGGACGGTCGGACGGGGAAACCCCTTCTGGAACGGTCGTTGTGGGATACAATAGGGGCTCAGGCTTCACCTCTCACCGTCAGCATCGAGGGGACCGGAAATGACGTATTTCTCTACTGGATGTCGGACTGTCTGGGGCACGAAGGAGAAGGAGGCCAATTTAAATTCATAGAGGGTAAGAGTGTACGTGTTTACGACTTACAACTACTTTCAGTAATAGGTATTCTTAGAACGTATATTGTGTATGTGTATATGTATAAAACGTTGACACAGTTGCACGACACTCCATCCGGTCACAATATTCTGACAACGGCTAACCGGATGTACCTACTGAAACACCGCCGAAAAGAAAAACAGAAATTAAGATAGAAAAAAATAAAGGATTGTTTTCTGTTTCTCAATGTCCGTTTAATAGAAGACCCAATAGTAACTCCTAATATAAATCGCCTCATAGGATCATCCAGTGGTATACAGCAGGCATATCATTTTATTTTATTCTATATAGATAAAGTATGCTCGATCTTCGACATTCTGTATTATTAGTAAACGTGGAGGGTTACTTTGTCCTACCTTCACGATCTGTTTTTTTTATCATATTCGCTGCATCTACGTTCCATATTATGGATATCCGAACTATGGGAGTTCCGTATAAAACATCTGAATAAGGAAAGTTGATACGAGCTGATGGAAATGTTACAGGCTATGAGAGTTCATCATTTGCACGTTCAAGGTTCAAGATTTTCAGAGACGGAAAAAAAATCAGCGCATTACATATTGTAAACTATTTCTTTCTCAATTAGGTACGAACGTTCACGAGCAATCCCGGGCCGACTTCTGCCGACTCCGGTTTAAAACGAAGGGTTATAGTAAAATTCTGGCGCTGAGTCGGAATATTAAATCACCCGGCCATCAAGTATACTACTCCGGTAAGTAACCGAAACACGATCTTCACATTATATTCTCGGGGTTATCTTATAATTATCAAAGTTTATAATGAATTTATACCATAAAATCGGTTTTATCACTGGAACATATTCGCAGGCAAATGATCAAACCTCTAATAGCATCTTCGTTACTCGTCCATATACGTTGTTGTTGTTATAGATGAGCGGAAGGATATAGAAAGGAGTAAATGGATCAACACGTCCGCGGAGGCGCTAGATTATCTACGGTCACATCCGGAACAGCTAGAGAGCTACATGGAGCTGGAGGAAGAATCACGACAGTCGGATATGGAAAGACCATTGAACAAATATAAGGTAAGAGGGGGAAATCTTCGTCAATACATATAAAGTGAATAAGGGACAACACTCATTAACAAATAAACTGTAAACATGGGGCAATACTTTCCAACAAGTATACGAACAACAAGAGAATACCGAAATGTCATCAAAAACCATAATTCTAACTCGAAATCGATAAAAAAAACTAAAGAAAAATATCAACAAAAGAAAATTTATTTGGAGGCCCTTGGAAAAGTACAAGGATACTAAGACCGGGTAATCCAAGGGGGTAGCGACCTCTGCTTTATCAATGACAACCGCCATGTAAATCAGAGTCGAATCCAAGTAACGTCAAGCCATCACATCGAGAACTCAGGTAGTGACAAGAAAACCACAAGGTACTTTAATTAGCATAATAAAAATCATATATCAAACAAAGAAACAACACATTTCCCTGCGAGATTCTAATGGCGACATAAAACTTGTCGATACTCTTCATTAACTTGCATATTTGGAAACAAACACGAGGCGATACTTATCTACACCTATACAGTAGGCACGAGGGGATCTCCACCAAACAATAAAACGTAAACACGATGGGATACTTATCTACACCTTTAAAGTAGGCACGAGGGGATCTCCACCAGACAATAAAACGTAAACACGAGGCGATACTTATCTACACATATAAAGTAGGCACGAGGGGACCTCCCCCAAACAATAAAACGTAAACATGGACTTACTTATCTACACCTATAAAGTAGGCACGAGAGGATCCCCACCAAACAATGAAACGTAAACACGAGACGATACTTATCAACACCTATAAAGTAGGCACGAGAGGATCCCCACCAAACAATGAAACGTAAATACGAAGCGATACTTATCTACACCTATATAGTAGGCACGAGGGAATCTCCACCAAACAATGAAACGTAAGCACGAGACGATACTTATCTACACCTATAACGTATGCACGAGGGGATCTCCACCAAAGAATAAAACGTAAACACGATGGGATACTTATCTACACCTTTAAAGTAGGCCCGAGGGGATCTCCACCAGACAATAAAACGTAAACACGAGACGATACTTATCAACACCTATAAAGTAGGCACGAGAGGCTCTCCACCAAACAATGAAACGTAAGCACGAGACGATACTTATCTACACCTATAGAGTAGGCACGAGGGGATCTCCCCCAAACAATAAAACGTAAACACGAGACGATACTTATCAACACCTATAAAGTAGGCACGAGAGGATCCCCACCAAACAATGAAACGTAAGCACGAGACGATACTTATCAACACCTATAAAGTAGGCACGAAGGGATCTCCACCAAACAATGACATGTAAACACGAGGCGATACTTATCTACACCTATACAGTAGGCACGAGGGGATCTCCCCCAGACAATAAAACGTAAACACGAGACGATACTTATCAACACCTATAAAGTAGGCACGAGGGGACCTCCCCCAAACAATAAAACGTAAACACGATGGGATACTTATCTACACCTTTAAAGGAGGCACGGGGGGATCTCCACCAGACAATAAAACGTAAACACGAGACGATACTTATCAACACCTATAAAGTAGGCACGAGAGGAGCTCCACCAAACAATGAAACGTAAGCACGAGACGATACTTATCAACACCTATAAAGTAGGCACGAGGAGATCTCCACCAAACAATAAAACGTAAACATGGACGTACTTATCTACACCTATAAAGTAGGCACGAGAGGATCTCCACCAAACAATGAAACGTAAACACGAGACGATACTTATCTACACCTATAAAGTAGGCACGAGGGGATCTCCACAAAACAACAATACGTAAACACGAGGCGATACTTATCTACACCTATAAAGTAGGCACGAGGGGATCTCTACCAAACAATAAAACGTAAACACGAGGCGATACCTATCTACACCTATAAAGTAGGCACGAGGGGATCTCCACCACACAATGACACGTAAACACGAGACAATACTTATCTACCCCTATAAAGTAGGCACGAGGTGATCTCCACCAAACAATGACACGTAACCCCGAGGCGATACTTATCTTCTCCACCAAACAATGACACGTAACCCCGAGGCGATACTTATCTACAAAATAAGGTAGGCACGAGGGGATCCCCACAAAACAACAATACGTTAACACGAGGCGATACTTATCTACAAAATAAAGTAGGCACGAGGGGATCTTCACCAAACAATAAAACGTAAATACGAGGCGATACTTATCTACACCTATAAAGTAGGCACGAGGGGATCTCCACCAGACAATTAAACGTAAATACGAGGCGATACTTATCTACACATATAGAGTAGGCACGAGGGGATCTTCACCAAACAATAAAACGTAAACACAAGGCGATACTTATCTACACTATAAAGTAGGCACGAGGGGATCTCCACCAGACAATGAAACGTAAATACGAGGCGATACCTATCTACACATATAAAGTAGGCACGAGGGGATCTCCACCAAACAATGAAACGTAAACACGAGGCGATACTTAACTTCACATATAAAGTAGGCACGAGGGGATCTCCACAAAACAACAATACGTAAACACGAGGCGATACTTATCTACACCTTTAAAGTAGGCACGAGGGAATCTCCACCAAACAATGAAACGTAAACACGAGGCGATACTTATCTACACCTATAAAGTAGGCACGAGGGGATCTCCACCAAACAATAAAACGTAAACACGGGCCAATACCTACCAACAAATGTAATTGTAAACATGGGCAAACTACTTACCAACAACTATAATTGTAATCACGGGAAAATGCATACCAACAAATTTACCAACAAATATAATTGTAAACACGGAAAAATGTTATTTTTTAATTCTGAACGGCCCATCAACAAAGCAAGCGGCCATTATTAATTATTAATCACAGGAGAATCTCAATCAACAAAACGAATGCCTGCTTGTGTGATGTAGACAACGATTCCACCATTTATACTTAATAATCGGAATTCTCCGCGTCCATCTAAAATGTATAGACGGGAGTTCTCCTGTTTTAATTTTATGTCACAACATTTGAAATGTGGACAGATGGAGTTTCCTATCGTTTAATGAAAGGTAGAAATTCATGAATTTCATATATTTTGAAACACTGTTATTGGGAAGAAGCACACGTTCTATCTGGTGTATACCGAAGTAATGAAATATTGGTTGTTTCTTTATTGGTCAAGGATGCAGAGATGCTCAGACAAAAGGAAGGAGAGTACATTTACAACCCACAGTCCGATCACCAAAGCCTGAGAACAGCTTCAAAGAAAGGACCACCAGTTAACTCCCCTTACAGACCAGCCTCGTTACCGTCAGCTGCTGTCAGGGAACAAACAGGAAGTTACATGGAACCAACTATGTACGATGATATCAGTGACGTCATACAGAATGTCGCAGGCGATGATTATACAGATGATTCAGAAAATCCCTATTATCAGAAACCTTATAGAAACGGTTACACTGGTTACGACCACTCACCAACACGCTACAGGTCACGTGGTAAGGTAAACAATAGACAACCACCTAGGAGAACGTTGGATACAATTGAACATATGCGGCATAGACGAATAACTAGAAATACTTTAAATAAAAAAGAATCTGGAAAGAAAGTAAGTGATAGATTTCATTCGGAAAACATATTCAATTCCGATAAAAAGACAAATAGTCATCGGAAACGGAAACGGCGCCATATTGGACCACACGATGAGGATGGGCTTCAGAGACTATTGTCCACCGGAACTCTTGCTCCTACAACGTTATCTCGGAACCACCCAGACTTTAACCATTCCATGGACTTTGTGTTCGCGACATATTGGTTCTTCCCTGCCAAAACACAAGTCATCCTTCCAACCGACCAAAAGTGTATCGATGAAAAACTAGACAAGGAGAAAATACGATTCAGTCCGACAAGTAGGTTTGACATTTTAGTTTCATAAAATGTAAATCTTAACTCCATCTGTTATAATGTAAATTTGGTTCTAGTTAAAATCGACAGGACATCTTCTCAATAAAGCACCCAAATCCAAGTTCGTTATACAGTGCATCTACATCGTATACTTCTATGAGTCAATAACTTCGCATGCTATTAATAGCAACGTTCATAGCCCAGCTCCTTTTATTATAGGTAAATACTACGGTCTTGACCACGACAAATACCAACATGTGGTCATTCAAGAATGTCTACAGGCTTCCGGTCATGCGCACTCAGATGACCATTCCAAAACCACATTTCAAAGTCTGGAGACGTTTAACCCCTATAAGATCAATATGGGACAGATGACGGTATACAGGTAAGTATTGTATAAAGACAATGTGTTGTTCATGGGTAATGGTATCTAGGACTGGAATTCAGTAAATGAATCGCTAGCTGATGCGTTTTGTCTATTTTCAAGATCGTAAATTAGTTTTGTTGTACAAGGCTGGTCAGGATATGAAATAATATATTCATTGTTATATATGTTAGAATTGCACATCAAAATATTTGTCTTTAAAATTAATATTTTCATTTTATTTCCCTACTATTCTTCCTTGACGGATGGCTTAAGTCCGACATGTTTCATGGTACCTCATTTTCAAATCCAATAGCTTTAATAACAGAATGATCGTTCTTTTAACCTGACTAACAAAATATCGTAAATACCACTAGCATGACAATAATGGTCACGTCTCTACGAACTGTGACATTTATATCAAACATGACAACGATTGTTTCGTTCTGGAATTGTTTTCGGTCCATCGACAATTGAAATTATTAATCGCCAATACGAGGCCATACTAAGCATATTACTACTAAACCTTTAGCATGACAAGTATCTCGCTACCAAACTCTGACTTCTGTTTGGTTTTATTAGAGTCAATGTCCCAGCTGAAGTCTTTTAAGAGCGTAAAATACTAGGCCGAAGACGCTAAATGCAGTATTCCGCCAAGTCACATTACAATAACAATGGGTAAACTTGGTTTGGTTTAGTTTAGTATTGTTTAAAGTCCTATCAACAGCTATGGTCATTTAAGGACGGCCTCCTCTTTGTGCAAGATGCATGCGTGTAGTGTATGCTTGTGTGTTTTGGGAGTCTGCGTTATGTTCGTCTTTGTCTCCTTATGATAGCGCGGAACTGATGTCGACTGTATAGGGCTACCTCACTGAAACATACTGCCAAAGACACCCAGCAGGACACTCCTACCGACAACGAGGAAACCACTTGTTGCTGTTACCCTAAATGCTTTAGGATTAGACAACACAATGCACTAATAGTTACCTAACATCTCACTACCAGCCCCTTGTAGTCTTCTTACCAAATTCTATATTTAACCTAGAATATCAATAAAAGTCACATATAATCAATAAATGTCAACGAATATTTTAAATTTAACCTGTTTTATGACAATTATGACTACCTCAATACCCATCTTATAACATTTACCGCAGTTATGAAATAATAGTCACCCAACTAATAAAGTCTTGATATTCTCTTACAACAACTTTAAGAGTTAACTCCCAAACAAACATTCATCTTGACAGCAAAAACGCTTATTGACTTCAAACAGTCCTAGTTAGTCGGTTATATTGATATCACATCAAACGGGAAAGCTTCCATAACACTGAACTGATTGTACAACATCAGACGTCGTTATTCAATAGCAGAGCCTAATGCATAATTTGGGTGTTCAACTTTTGGCACCTAGCATTACCGATGAATCCTAGAAAGACAATACCGCTGTATGATGCAGTGTAATAACTGTTTGGTATGCTACATACATATGTGTGTGTTACGTTCATTTTTCAGAAAAGTCATACATGTAGAGTTTATAGTTTGGTTTTATAGTTAAGGTCATTACCGATGGCATAACAAAGATAATTACCTGAATGATCAAACACAATGACATTGCATATTAACCAGCAAGATTCTAAGATCTCTTGGATCTCATTGAAAAAAACCTATTTTTAAAACAGCCTGAATAAGTTGGTATGCTATCCGAATAGATAATTTTAGATTATACATAACTGATTTAGACAACAAAGCAAAACATATTTTTTTTCGACATTAGAACACGTGCTTCCGTGTGTGTAATGTCTGTGTGTAGTGTGTGCTGGAGACGGTAATGTGGCGTATCTGCTAGGCAATGAGGCCTGATATGATGTTGACTTTGCTGAATATGTGCAGTTTCCATCATTTATGTAACGCAGATCTGATGTTGACTTTGCTGAATATGTAAAACTTCAACCATTTATGTTACTTGGAGCTGATGAGGACTTTGCTGAATATGTAGCGTTTCCATCATTGATGTTTTAAGGATCTGATGTTGACTTTGCATCATGTAGAGTTTTCATCATTTATGTCACGTGGATATGATGTTGACTTTGCTGAATATGTACAGTTTCCATCATTGATGTAACGCAGATCTGATGTGGACTTAACTGACTATGTAGAGTTTTTCATCATATATGTTACGTGGATCTGATGGGGACTTTGCTGAATATGTAGAGTTTTCATCACTTATGTTATATAAAATATAATGTTGCCATTTACAGGTTACGTCTGACATGTAAGTGTAGCAGTGTGCCTCATAACGGTACTGGTCAGCGGTGTAGCCGGACACTACCCTTCGACCAGCAACAGTGGTCAGCTTATATGGGTAGTAAGGGCGACAGTCATTGGAAACCGAGATCTACTGACCACAGGATCAAGATTTAGACAGACTGTACTACTTGATGTCCAGGCGGCGGACAAGGACATCATTCATAAGGCGACAAAGGATCTCCAGATGAGAAAACTAGAAATATTAAACATGTTACTACTGTGTGATTTAGACAGACTTACAATCCTCGGGGTAATATTTTAGAGGTTCAGTAAAGTCTCGAGGGCTAAAATTTCCTGTCGACTTCACAAAGACGTGATTAATAATAAATGAAGTTATTATAACGAATACAATGCCCCTCGTCATCATCATTGTATCATAAAACGCGAAAAAAATGATGACGTGGTCCTATTGTTAAATTATAACAATTAATTAATTAATTCCCAATTAAGGATGGGTGTACCTTCTTTCTCTATAGTGATGAAGGCAGACCTAATACCACCATCACAAGAGTAATCTCCCTTTTTGCGAGGGGAATACCAGCTTGACACATCTAAGAGGAGTATATTTGGGGGGTTAATGTCCTCGCAACACCTTTGGTCATATGATGAAATATGCCTGGAGAGACACCAACAAAAACAACAGAGTAAGTAATAAAGGCAAGATACAGATCCAAAGCCTGCTGCAAAAAAACACGTGCTAAGCATGCAAACCATAAGGAGTGTGCTTTTTGTAAAATTTCAAATAAATTTCGGTTGAGTTTTGACTCAAATAACATGACAGGAGAAAAATGATCATCCCTTACCTCCAGGATTAACAGCGATGTTTCTAACTCTTTGGGTGATACTTTGGTTGTCAAATCATTGACAGTGCTTCGGGCTAGACAACCAAAAAAACACTCTTAGGGTTGAAAAAGTCGCTGTTATATCCTTAAGATAGAAAAATATTCCATTAAACTTTATTTCAAAAGCGGGAATACACTTACGACGTGTTCGGTCCAAAATATGGTTAAAATTACTACATCCGGATCACAAGATCCACGCATATAAGTTTATATACTGTTGGTTTTACCCACGCATACAAGTCTGTATAATGTTGGTTCTACCTACGCATACAAGTCAATACAATTTGTTTTAACCTACGCATGCAAGTCTATATAATGTTGGTTTTACCCACGTATACAAGTCTATACAATGTTGGTGTTACCCACGCATACAAGTCTATCTAATTTTGGTTCTACCTACGCGTACGAGTCAATATAATTTGTGTTTTACCTACGCACATAAGTCTATAGCATGTGTATTACCTGCGATACAAGTCTATTATATATATGTGTACATATATGGCTAAAGTATGTGTACTACCTGTGGTAAAATTCCATGATGTGTCATTTATTTAATGTTTTACCTACGCCTCTTAGTTCATTATGCGCGTATTCGTATGCCTGTTTTATACGCATACACGTCAAAAATGCGTGTATTACTTACGCACATAAGTCAATGTGTGTATTGCCTACGAACAAACATCTCAAACCTTTTAGATCACCTACACATATAAGTCTATGTGTGTATTACCTACGCAGATAAATATATTATGTGTGTATTACCTACGCAGATAAATATATAATGTGTGTATTACCTACGCTAATAAATATATAATGTGTGTTTTTCTTTCGCAGATAAATATATATAATGTGTGTATTACCTACGCAGATAAATATATATAATGTGTGTATTACCTACGCAGATAAATATATATAATGTGTGTATTTCCTTCGCAAATAGTCTGTGGTGTGTATCACCTACGCATACAAGTCGTTGTGTGTATTATCTACGTATATAAGTTCATATATATTCACAAACCAAACCTACGCATATATGTTTATATATATTCACAAACCAAACCTACATATATAAGTTCATATGTATATAATATACGCATGTAAATGTATAATGGGTTCACTACTTAAGCGTCAATGTATTACCTACACATTAAGAAATGTATTGCCTTCACAATCTCAGTACATTATGTGTGTGTAGGATGTACACATCTTAGATAAGGATGAGTGCATGATACACATGTATTAGACCAGGATATTTGGCTGACTTACTTGTTATACAGCTAATAATCAATGATACACATGTATTAGACCAGGATATTTGGCTGACTTACTTGTTATACAGCTAATATTCAATGATACACATGTATTAGACCAGGATATTTATCTTACTTACTTGTTATACAGCTAATAGTCAATGATACACATGTATTAGACCAGGTTTTTGGCTGACTTACTTGTTATACAGCTAATATTCAATGATACACATGTATTAGACCAGGATAACATAGAACAGTTCACTATAATACGACATTTAGTGCCAGTTTTACATACTAATGTTTGCAAATAATTATACAAGTTCAATATTTACAAAACGTAGAATAATATGTAAAGTCTATATAGAACAATTCCGCAATGTTTAAACCACGTGAACAAAACCTGGTATACTGTTTGAATTACAGAATGGATTTCTGCTTAAATATTTTGTCGCAATAATTATATGATTGGCATACGTTGGGAAACCATCATGTGTACTAATATTGCATGGCAAGCGATGATTGTACAAATATATGATAACCATAATAAAGTATTTATTTTCTGAAATAGTTTTTTTTTTTTATGATTTTTGTGTGACGGATTTTGTTGTTCGTATTTATAGGGTTTAACGTCCTGTCACCAGCTAAGACCACTTATAAATGCGCCTCCTGTGTGTTATGTATGCGTGCATATGTGTATTATGTGTGCTGAAGGCAGAGTACACGTATGTTGGTGAACTTGCCTCCTTGTGATAAAACGGATCTGATGCCGATTTTCACTGACCTTAAACATACAACGGGTGAACCAGTTGTTATTACCTGCACTGCTGAACGTTAAGGAGGTAATAACAACTACCGTTTTTAAAGTCTTTGGTATAACCCGGCAAGGGGACAGAACCCACTGCCTTCTCCACATGGGCGAACGTTCAAATCCGAGGTGTCGCCTGAGAAGGTTCTGGGAAACAACAGGTGTTTAGAAGTAGAGAACACTAGAACTGTGGCCAGAGAAGGCTCTGGGAAACAACAGGTGTTTAGAAGTAGAGGCACTAGAACTGTGGCCGGAGAAGGCTCTGGGAAACAAAAGGTGTTTAGGGGTAGAGAACACTAGAACTGTCGCCATAATGGCAGACTTATACCCTCACCAGGACGAAACACTACAGGTATAGTTCTTAGAGAACATTCTTAACTTATCAAAACAAAGTATTGCAAAATAATACATAGCACTGAGAAACAAAAAGTAGTTAGAAGTAGAGACTTATAGCCCCCGCCCGCCAATGCCAAAAACTGCAGAAATAATGAAATAAAATTCATTAAAAATAAACGAATGTTAGCGCGCGGGGATGTTACTATGGAAGGAAACCGGAGTAGCCGGATAAAACACCAGTGGTCGGGCAGTTGACCGAATACCTTTTCACGTTTGATCCCGGAATCGAACCCCGGCCGCCTTGGTGAGTAGCAAATTACTCAATTTTATGCAGCTTAAATTTTAAACGGTATGTGGCCATCAACGAATTTTGCATAACAGCACCATAGGAACTACAATGTGTCATTATAACCTTGGAAATCTGTTTACATTCGATTCGCCCTAATTCTTATTGGAAAGATAATATTATAATATTATGGAAGAACGGCCGACTGTTTTTACGGTAAAAATTACAATAACTTGGTACACAGTCGCGCGGTAGTTGGCGATGATATGGAATTTCTATCTTCGGACAGCTTTAACTATTTTCCTGATGGATCTGTAGGTGATTTGTTCACCTTGATGTTGATGACGATCTAGTATTGCTTATATCAGAGCTAGGTGAGATCGTCTCAGAAGGCAAACCAAGATTATCATTTATCTTAGTAAAAGCAAAACGTGATGTCGGGGTTCTTTTGTGAGAAATTGAATATGCCGTAAGCATAAATAAAGCTGGAAATGACTTGCACAGGTGAGCAAATGAAACGGAACAATAGAACAACGTGCTGTAACAAAGTACACTATAACAGACAAACGGGAATGAAATATTAGGTCATGCAAAACAATATTGTGGTTCTTATAACAAGGTTTAATAAAAACTTAGGGGTAACAAAGGGTCTGTCCATTAACTTACATTTTGTTATTGCTATTCCTCCTGAATGTAATTTATGTAACCGTTTTCATGTTCAAACTCAAATCCTGTGCTCAAGCCCAATTTCTTGTACCAGAGGTAAATAAATTTGAACTTAATATTTGATCAATAATTTGGAAGAATGTTGGAAAAACATTCAACCTGGATGCTGTTTCGAATGTTAAAGATACATTTTTATCGTTTTGCATGACTTAAGCGAGTTACAAAAAAGTCGGGTCGAGCACAGAATATATGCCTAAGCATGTGAATGGTTTCGTGAATATGGGCCAAGGTCTTTGGACAAATGACCATTGCACCATATTAACAAGAATACCTTGTAATCGGTCTCGAATGGAAAAAAGGTCACTGCGTCGTCCATTATAGCCACTTTGTCAGCCATCTTGGAAAAGTGTTATCATAGCTCCTCTAAATGACAAGTTTTAGAGACAGTTAAACTACACGCATCCAACATTAGTAAGTATAACTTGTTGTAGGTCTTAAATACAAAATAATGTCATTGGTTCATCTAATACAACCACCATGGTACCAATCTTCAACAATATTTTTAAGCCTGCATCGGATATGTATGTGCCCTAAAGTAATGAAAGTGTCTGGCTGTTTGTTCGTCCACACGTTCTTTTCTGTAGATTATTTGAGAATTCAAAAGACTTATCTTTCTGAAATTTGACATGGTGATACACTGTGATGTGAAAATGTGCAAAGGAGATTTTAAAATCTTTTAAAGGCGAGGTTAAAGTGATAACTCCGTTGACTTCGTATTGGAAACTTACTTTAGTTTTAAACCTCAAAGATAAATACTTTAATTACATGTTTATAACATAACGTATTTAAAATAGGGGATCGCAATCGCCGACTGGTTAAGACAGCTGACCGTCAATGAGCACTTCCTCTCCATCGCTAGGTTGCTGGTGTGGGGCTTACGTGATCCAATCACCAGTCATTGACAGTAGGTAGATATTTTCCCCTGTCTTCTCTGTCTTTCCTCCACCACCAAATAATGCCACGTACTTAAATGACCATAACTGTTAATATTGTGTAAAACCAAAAAACAAATAAGTATTATGGTAGAATGAATAGATTTTTATTAAATGTGCAAACAATTATTCAGCATTGTTATCGAAAATCAGTATAAATGATTAATTATACTATTATTTCATAAATGAAATATGTTAGAAATATATCTAGTTCTTATTGATATACAAGTAAACTCTAAAAACTTCAAAAGTGTCAAAATTGTTATCCAATCGATAACATTAATGGGACATGGGGCATGGGATGTTTTTTTCTCTCAAATAAGCTTCCAAAATTAATATTTGATTTGACTACAATTGCAGTGTTGAAGTTATTTTAACCTATCAAACATCGGAATTATCTGACATGAATAAACGTAGTCTTGTAATGGGTGAACCAATTGATGCCATTTCCCTAATTGCTGAATGTTAAGCAGGTAATAACAAATACCAATTTTAAAGACTTTGATTTGTCGCGGCATTTTATATGATCTCAATTATCATAGTATAATCTCTAATATTAATGAAAAAACACCAGTAATACGGAATGATAATTCTATCAGCTTCTGGTGTAAATTATTAACTAAATACCAAATACAGATATTTGCATAAACCTTAGGTAACCTACATAAAATAAAGATTGTAAAACCAGATATAGCTTACTAGCATAAAGAGTAAATTAAAAACAAAAAAAACTTTACATAAACTCACGAGTACTAACACACAATGTAAATTACATAAATATATGGATAAGCTACGGATTAAATACAAGACTACATATTACTCATGTGTACTCTAGATTACAAACAGAGACTGTAGATTACTTAAATACACTGTAAATCACATAACTGTTCATAAACCATCGATTAAATAAAAGTCAAAAGATTACTTCTTTCAACTGTATATTACTTACTTTAGCTACATAATTATGGCTGTAACACACACTGTACATTTCTTACATACCCTGACAACTACAAACGTGAACTTAAATATAGATTACAGTATAGATTGAAGGTTACCTACATAATCTATAGATTACATAAACAATTGTAGAACCTTAACACAAACTGTAGATTACAAACAGATATGTGTAATACCTACTTACACTTTTAATTACAAACACAAACTGCAAGTTTCATATAAAGTGTTAATAGCATTCATAAATTGCATATGTAAGCTGTTCATTACTCTCAAAAAACCTAAATACATTTCATAATGTATAGAGTAACGAAATAAACTGTAAAATTCTTATTTCAACTGAAGACTACAATCAATAAAAGCAGATTACATACAAAGATACCGAATATCCATATACCGATAGCATACACATGTTGTAAACAACATACATAAATTGTAGATTGTATACACAAACTGTAGATAACATACATGAACAGAAGATTATTTGCGTAAAGAGTAAGTTACATACACACACTGTAGATAACATACATGAACGGTAGATTATTTGCAAAAAGAGTAGGTTACATACACAAACTTTAGAAAACAAACATAAACTGAAGATTACATAAAAACTGTAGTTTATATATAACAACTGAATCTTGCATGCTCAAACAGAATATTACAAACACAAACTTAAGAATACATACATAAACTGAATATAATATACACAAACTGTAGATTACAAGCATAAACTGAATATTACATATACAAACTGAACATTGCATACACAAACTGTAGAATAAAAACAAAAACTGAATATTACATACACAAACTGTAGATACCATACATGAACAGTATATTATTTGCATAAAGAGTTGGTTACATACACAATATTAAGAATACAAACATAAACTGAAAATTACATAAACAACTGTAGGTTATATACACAAACTGTAGATTATATAAATAAAACTGTGGATTCCATACACAAACTGTAGATTATATACACAAACTGTAGATTATATAAATTAAACTGTGGATTACATACACCTACTGTAGATTACATACACAAACTGTAGATTGCATACACAGACTGTAGGTTATATTCAAAAACTGTAGATTATATACACAAACTGAATATTAAATACACAAACTGTCGATTACAAACACAAAATGAATATTATATACACAAAATGAATATTACATACACAAACTGTAGATTATATAAATAAAACTGGATTATATGAATAAAACTGTGAAATACATACACAAACTGTAGATTACATACACAAACTGTAGATTGCAAACACAAAATGAATATTACATACACAAACTGTAGATAACATACACAAACTGTAGATAACATACACAAACTGTAGATTACATACACAAACTGTAGATTGCAAACACAAACTGTAGATTACATTCACAAACTGTAGATTACATTCACAAACTGTAGATTTCATACACAAACTGTAAATTACAGTATATACACAAACTGCAGATTGCATACACAAACTGTAGATTATATACACAAACTGTAGATTATATACACAAACTGAAAATTACATACAGAAATTGTAGATTACAAACACAAACTGTAAATTACGTCATAAACCGTAGATTACATACATAAATTGAATATTATATAAATAACTGCAGATTATATACACAAACTGAATATTACATACACAAACTGAATATTACATACACAAACTGAATATTACATACAAAAACTGTAGATTACATACATAGACTGTAGATTATATGCACGGACTATAGATTGCATTCACAAATTGTAGATTACATGTAAAAAAAATGGACATTATATACACAAACTGTAGATACCATACATGAACAGTAGATTATTTGCATAAAGAGTTGGTTACATACACAATATTAAGAATACAAACATAAACTGAAAATTACATAAACAACTGTAGATTATATACACAAACTGTAGATTATATAAATAAAACCGTGGATTCCATACACAAACTGTAGATTACATACACAAACTGTAGATTACATACACAAACTGTAGATTGCATACACAGACTGTAGATTATATTGAAAAAACTGAGATTATATACTCAAACTGAATATTACATACAGAAACTGTCGATTACAAACACAAACTGTAAACTACACACATAAACCGTAGATTACATACATAAACTGAATATTACATAAACAACTGCAGATTATATACACAAACTGACTATTGCATACACAAACTGAATATTACATACACAAACTGTAGATTATATACATAAACTGTAGATAGCATACACAAACTGTAGATTATATACATAAACTGAAGATTACATACATAAATTTGAGGTTATATGCACAAACTATATATAACCTACATGAAAAGTAGATTATTTGCATAAAGAGTAGGTAACATACACAAACTTAAGAATATACACACTGAATATTAAATACACAAACTGAATATTACATACACAAAATGTAGATTACGTACATAACCTAAAGAAAATATACATAAACTGCAGATTGCATACATAAAATGTAGTAATATTCCATAATAACTCAATGGAAACATAGACTGTTAAATTTGATAGTAAGCGGTCAAACACTCACAAAATGTAACGAATAAATATTGATTTGAACGTGATTTACTGTCCTAGCAAAACAAATTGCAGGAAGGAATGTTGGAGATATTTAATCACGAAAACGAGGCAATGCTATATTGTGGACCTAGCGCACTCAATATAGCATCAATAGGTGTTACAACTGCTGCAAAGAATGGACTTTTTTCCACATACGTACATCCTATAGCCATTCCGATTAATTGTAAATCATTAGTTTTAGGCGTGTTCATAAATACTGCTGAACCCGAATCACCGTCCAGGAAAAATTGCAGGCTTGGATAAGAACCGCACACTTGATACTGGTTGATCATTTGGGCCTGTCCTCTATCTCTAGGCAAACCAAGCGGTGTCGTCATCTGTCTTACATCCACTCCACAAACGCGAAGTGTTCCCCTGGTGACGTCACTGGAGCTGCCAAATTTGACCAGTGTTTGTGATGAAGAGATTTGTTGCAAATCAGTCTGAACTGATCCACTGTTGTACTCTGGAAGCTCGGCGAACCCTGAAATAAAACAACACCGTGGTATTTAATAAATGTGTATAGTTGATAAAGTGTAAAATGAATGTAACAACATGTTCAGATATCATACCAAATGCGCACAATATATGTTTAATGGTAATTTGCTTCACACGGTTACATCATTCATGGAAATATATATACATGAAAAAATAAATAAAACAAGGTAAACATAAATTGACAAAAGTCTTAATAAAAATTTGAGAAAGAATGTTCAGTTGTGAACGGAATAATATGCATTTGAGTCTCGCGAATTAAAACACTTTCATTTCATTCTAAACGGAATCTTATGCGCGGTGACTTGAATACTGAGTGTACTTCAGACAAACGAGACGCAGTTATTAAAGGTCATTTGTTAGAACTAAATACATTACATTTTATGAATTCAGATGTAAACAAATTCGTACTCTGGAAATACATACCTGCATCCAAATAGCTACTGCGGTAAGCGTTGGAGAATTGGCCTTTACTGGGGATCCTATTAAAGTCAGTCAATTCCACGACAGCGACATCAACGCTTGGTATTAGTTGTGGATTGAAAATTGCTCTGTAAACATGTCCACATGCTACTCCATTGGACGTTGTTGCATCCACGGAAGGTTGTACGACTTCAATTTTAGTGTTCCCAGTATGTTGGAAATCCACAGATTGTTTGGTCATGGGGATATCAAACAGTACGTGAGCGCAAGTAAGAAAGCCGATCTTGTTATTGAACGCAACAAATGGACCTTGTGTGCCACTAATGTTTTGGAGGGGATTTCCATGTGCGTCATACTCTGGGGTGAGTCGTCCAATATTACAACCCATTTTGAGACGGGTATGGGGGACATTACTTGGTAGTGAACTATATGCACCACGTTTGAAATAGCCTTCATGCACATCAACATCTATCGAATCGTCCTCTCCTATGTATAACTGCGTTGGGAACTCAGGTTCTCCCAGTGGTACTACACCTTTTGTACTACAGTGTAGTACGATACATGTTTTATTGATGATGTCTGCACCATTATTCCGGTATATCACAGGACTAACGCTTATAATGTTTAAGTTGCTATGGTTTTTCCAAAGATTGTCCCGATGGATCGATATTGCTTTTTGGGCTCGTTTGGAATCTTCATCTGAAACTGNCTCGTTTGGAATCTTCATCCGAAACTTTTACCTGTACATCTGTGTTACATCCATTTTCTCTTGCAAACAAATACGGATTCCGGATCATGACCAAACCTATACCATCAAGTTGGTATTGGGTAGCTTCACCTACATGTTTTGAATACACAATGAACACTCGTTCGCGTTTTTCATCTTCAACGCGATGACCTGTAATAACTGCAGGCTTAAGTTCAGAGTGCTTCTGTTTCACTTTCTCGGCTATATTTAACATGAAGACTTCTTCCATTTGGATACTCAGGTCAAGGTTTTGAAAACAGTATCTAATGGTGTCTTCTCGAGCGCATTTGATCAACGAGCGTGCTATATCTGTTTTATCCATATAGGTTGCTACATATAATGCTGTGGCTTTGCTGACTCCTAATCCTATTAACGACTCCCCAAATATGTTCTCAGATATTTTACATTGTTCATTCCATTCGATTCCCTTCCATTCCATCATGCAATCGATCATTTCTGAGGAGCCATACACAGCTACAATATGAGGTACGCCAAACGAGTTGATCTCATTTGCAGTGAACTCCTTTTCCAACATTTTGAAGTCCTCGATGTTTTGCTTCTTTGCGATTTCTACGATCCACTCAGGATCTGAAATAATAGTTTATGTCTCATCAATTAACTTGATATTCATGAATTAGTAACATAATCCAGGTAAATAATATCTTATCCTTGTCTCGATTTTACGATTCCGTTCAACCTATTTCTTTACACTTTCACTATTACCCCATCGAAATCCCATATGAACACAAATTACAAAAGAAAATCAAAAATATTTTGTTCCTGGTCCGGCGTTCTGGTACAAAACCATTTGTATCAAACACTTTTGAAAAGTAACATAGAAACTTGAATGTAGTTGAATATGCCTATTTATGTATCAACAGATCACAATTTCATTTCATACAATTACGCATGCATGAAGTCACCGATACTGACTCTCTATTCAAAGCTCAGCGTCCTCATTGTCTGTATAAGCGCATCCATTTTGATCAAAGTGGGATCGACCCTTTTCTAGTTCGACTAGGGTCGGCTTAGATGATGATCAATAGTATCGTTCATCATTTGTTACATATAGTTTGTAGGTTGTTCCCATCTTGACAAAACTTGAATGTTTGTTCTTACGTGGGGGGCAACACATAATTATCGCTCTTCCTACTGAAATATGAGTAGGATCAATCGAAAACATAAATTGAAATGTCACATGATCTAACCATTACCTGTTTTGGCTTTGCATTTTGGATCGAGCGTCAAGGGAACGGTTTCTTGCGTCAGTTCATACCCAGTCGATCCAATCTGAAATGTTTCCATATTATTGATGACCCATTTAAGTTATTATGCATTAATTTTGAAATTTGGTAGTTCTTTACCTATGTATGCTGTTATTTCTTTAATATGTATGCTCTTACAAATATACTTATATGGGTTTTCCAGATTTTGAAATAGCTATTTACCACTTCTATCTCAATAATACTACTTTAATAACGTAGTGCTTAATATCATAAAGTCGACGTTAGTCTCATATAAGTATTATTTCAGGTGCAGTTCATAAGCAGTAAGAATGCCAATTGCATTACAGGAAAATGACATAACGCAGTTCATGTCATTTTCTTGTAATGCATTTGACATTCATATTGCATATGAACAGCATCTGAAAGCAGTGAAATTCTGATATTTCAATGTTCACACATCTTTCTGTCGTATAACTCAGCGATTAAGTTCAGTAATGCAATAGGAACAATAGCAGTAGAGAACCATTCTAGCATCATAATACAAGAAGACTTAGACATGTTCATTTAGGGGGAAGTTAGGATATCTGAAACTTATTTTACACCTATCATTGACAGGCATATATTATTAAGCCACTCTCACATTTTAAATGCTACAAAAACAAAACGAACATCCCTCATAACAACTCTGATTATGAGTCAAAATTTGTTGCCAAACTTCCATAAAGTCAATAATTGAATGATAGTCTGTAATAGCGTTGAATGGAGAATATGAATGTAACTGTGTCTACATACATGAAGTCACTATTTATAAGTGTATGAGGGACTACGTTATATTTGACATCGTTTTGGCTACAGGTAATGTTGATGGTACATATGTATGAGTAAACGTTAATCTGATACCAATTCATTACATGTCAAAGATCCCAGAGTTGGCATTGGTTATCATAAACATATGTTTAACATACCCGTTTAATCTCACATTGAAATTGCACCTAGATTATTTAGATTTTGACTACATTCAATGCAGATTTAATATCCAATATATGTTTGTCATTGCAATGAATTCGGATCGAATAATCCTGTCCTTGAATAAAGAGATATTTAAGGAATTAAATTTCAGAAGACAAAAGTATGAAACTTGTCAAAGGGTCGTGAATTATCATTATTTAAGTTTGCATGCATAATTTCCATTTCAGGTTATCACGTGACAGAGAAAATAAGATCGGGTAAATGTTATTGATACCTGTTTATCTTGCCAATTCTTTAAGATCTCAACAATTGTTTTGCGTCCGTATTGTTTTGCAACTTGCATCGCTCGACCCTATAAAGACAAGAAGTACATAGACATAATGTACATATTAAGCATAAATACAGATGATCTTTACAATGTAACTATAAAATACAATCCAGTATTACATGGCGATGTTAAAGGGACAATTTAGTGAAGTAAGGTTACCTGAAAATCAAGTCGATAGTGAAAATATATATCTGCTAACAAAAGTTTACGTAGTTGGTAATGACATGATCTGAAGCAAACGTCCAGTGTGGTCAGTAACATATATGAGGAACGCCGGTGATAAAAAAAAGCTACGACCGAAATAGCAGTACTGAGAGGGTGCCACAGGGATAATTCAAACCGCAGAAAGTACGATATCAATAGATTTAAGCGTAAAATAGATCACGCATTTATTACAATGTTAATAACAATGTATAAATGCTGTCGGGAGATGATTTTGATTCAAAATAGATGCATATACTTGTATTCAGAGGGGCTAGGTGAACAAATCGAGAAGTTACATTTGCTACTATGCTGGAAAGACGTTTTTGTTAGCAATACATTCACCGACAGATGCCCCTAAACCGTATGGCTGAACAGTTAAGGATTTCTCCATGACGGATTAAAAACGCCAAGAAAGCATTGTCTCTTGTCAATTTCTCGACATGAATTGTTCACAAGGAGTATCAAACTATATAATCATGAAGATTTTTGAAAAAGGTCTTTTATCGTTATTTTTTTCTCACACATCACACAGATACTGTTTTAAGATGGTGCAGTGGATAACACACTCGCCTTTCAATAAGAAGACCAATGTTTGATTCCACTTTCGATCGTTAGAAATTATATGACGTCAGTTGTTCGCAAACGAGAGGTTTTACCGTGTATTCTGGTTTCCTTTTATATTAAGGCAAGTGCGAGTTTCCATCCGAGCGAACAGGAGTGATAAATACAATGTTATAATACTTGTTAAAGTTAACTTTTCATCAATTAATAACAATGACAATGATAAATCATTGGAAGCCAGAAAACTAGATCACTAACCCAAGAAGTTTTCACAAAAAAATACTTTGCAACGCGTAAAAAGCATTTCCTGGGCAATGATCCGGCAAGTGAATGCATTTTGCATTGCTTTAAAAATGCATTAACTGTTCTCAGTCTAGAGAGGTCAAGGCGAATATACGAGAATGTACTGGTCATTAATGATATTTCTCTCGATATGTTCGACCCTTCAACTGCCAAATCGAAACTACTTAAGCGTTGTCTAAAAATGTGATCGCTGTTTTTGGTGAGTTCTGCGGTCACACAACTGTATGTAGTATGATTGTGTAATATGTATGTAGGCTATCTATTAAAATATCATTAACCGATGAACTCAAGCGAGAGAATTGCGTAAATTGTATTACAGGCATTTCCATCAAATTCTGATAATTCCTTCTAAAAAGTATTGAACAGAAAGCATAAGCAACTCATCAGCCTCATTAAAAACATCCTGAAAATTTGTCTATCATAAAAACCGAAGTAAGATAATTAGGGAAGGACATGGGTAGTATACCCGTCAAAGTTAATCAAATTCTTATCATTTCATCACAGGATATTTCTAGAATTTTGTATCTTAGGAAACCAACCAAGCTTGATCAAATTGAGATGATTCATTCAGAAGACAGCACATTTATGAACCAGCCAATCAGAATACAGCAGCCTAATTGAATATTGTCAATCATCCAACCGGAGAAAGAAACTTGGGTAAGTAGTATGTCAACCACATTTGATCGAATTTTGACCTTACTTCATAAGATTTCAAGTAGACAGATAAAAAACGAACAGATAGACAGAACGAAAACCTGATAATTATAGGCACCGCATATATACATCTGTTGATTCAATGCCTATACAATGTTTTTGTTCTGCAGCTGTAGTAATTCATATCACAATAATGCCTTAGTCCTCATTGCTTGTAATGTTTTATAAAAAAAATCCAAAATAAAGAAATGCAATTAAAAATTTAATGTCTAAGCATCATTCGTGATTTTTTTACAACATGAAATTGAGATCAGGGTGCTCCTTACAATCGCATTAACACTCCTTAGCCGATCTGAACACTATATTCTAATATTCTTTTCGGAATTTATTTTCAAAAATAATATCTTTAAATTGCAATGCCACAAATTTTCAGTGAGGAAAAATATATATATATATTTTTAAATTGATTAATAGCCCATTGACAATGTGGGTCATTTAGGGCCGAACAACGTTGTAAAAAGAGACATTCACGAAAGAAAACACATCAAACCAACATTTATAGATTAATGTATGTAAAAGATTCAAGAAATACATCAATATTTAACAAATTGGCTGCACAATATATTATATTTTATTCTAGAGATCAATAGAGTGTTAAGAGTCATATATCAATTGCACTGAAACTGTATCGAATACTCTTTTATAGACGGTACATCATACAATCCTTCACGTATTTGTTTGAAATTAGCGCATTCAATCATTACGTGTTTGACTGTTAAAGGTTGATGGCATGCATGACAACAAGGCTTGTCTTCCTTACGCAATATGTAGCCATGTGTGATGTAGGCATGGTCATTACGCAGTCGCGAGATGACAATTTCCTCTCTGTGGTATGCTCTACTTGTTGCTCATGAACCCACATTAGGTTGCATTGCAAATAACTTGCTGTTTAATTCTTCAGACAATTAGTTTTGCCAATTTGTTTTTATAAAATTTGTTATAGAAGGTTGTTAATAAGAAAATTGCAGTTTAATATCTCTCGGATGAAGGTTAAGAGCTGCTTTAGCAGCTTTATCTAACTTCTCAATTCCGTTTATTGCGACATGGCCTGAAATTGAAATCAAGATCAGGTGGCAAAACAATAAAATTCTGTTAATACGAAGAGAAATATTTTGTATGAGAATGTTGTTCAAATTCCGATTTGAATCTTTGTAATAGTGACAAAGAGTCGGAACAAATTATTGCTTTGTTAGTTCTATCATTTTTAATTTCCCTGTTTTCAAAATTATGTTCGATTTTGTTCCTAAAATCCTTTTGTAAAGTCACTTCCTTCTTGAACTCAAGGATCAAATATCGAGTTGATGCTTTATAATGTATCGACTGGGTCAATCACTAGGGATCAGGGAAGTAAATTGGTTAGACTGTTATGTCTAAGAGTTTGGAGGTCACATGTTTGAATCTAGTCGCAGTACCCATCGAAGGATCTTGTGTACACGTCATCAGATTCAAAGACTTTGTTAAAGAAGGGAGTATGTATGTAGCGAAAATGGACTGGGCCAATCGTTGGCGACCAAACACTGATCAAAGCTGCTGAAATCCATTAATGTGTTGAATTGAATCCTGAGAACGGAACTGAATGAAAACGCGAATTAAATTGAATTAGATAATAGGAAAACACACAATCTATCAAATGAAATGCTGACATTCTTTCACGTACCAAAATTCCACTTTAAAAGCAACATAAGAACCAGGAAATCTATATATTGAAAATCAAACCTCATTGGGATATGAATCTTTTTCAAACAATATCTTGACAATGCTGGTATGACCATTAGATAATGCAATAAACAATGTACTGGACTTGATAAAACGCAAATTTACACAAGTAAACAAACTGGGATTTAGCAAGCATATTGTTATCATTACAGGTACGTAGCTTCGTTTTGTTAACTACATTATTGTTCCCTTTGGATGTGACCTATGTATACCAAGAGCCATATGAGCCTGTATGAATCAACTGGTGTTAAAATCATACTTGTAACCTTAAAAGAGGACTTTAAAAAAACTGCAGGCAATGTAATTACTTTAAATCATTTTACGTTGCAGAAATAGGAACCGCGATAACTAAGATTGAAAAACAAACCTCTTCCGGATTTGCTCCTTTGTCCAACAATAACTTAACGATGTCAGTGTGACCTTCCTGTGCTGCTACCCGCAAAGCACCAGACTGGATAAAATAGCAAACATCATATCAGTAAATAAAATTATATCTTACAAGGCTATATTAACATGACAGATGTACAGCATCTTTTTTAAAATACAGTAATAATGAAATTAAGTTTTACTTTATTTGTAAACAATCATCGGTTTATTATAGTTGTGGGATCGCACAACGTTACACGATGTGCGGTGTGTGCACGATGTGTGCACTTATTGCGAACGATAAGAAATTGGACGATCATTGCTTGCGCACATTTGTGCGGACGATGGACGAATGTTGTGCGATAACGATCGTGGTTGGTGTAAATTGAGGAATGCCTTAGCAATATATACGGTTTCTTGCATGTGTTTAAAAACACAAACTTGATTATGTAGTTTGTTTCTATATTCTAGCTATATCTGTAAGCTTATCTTTCTGTCTATACTTTCTGAAATTTAGAAATGGTATTTTCGGTGTTTTTTAAACAACCTTAGTCGACACTTTAAATGACAACACAGTCTCGGCAATACAGGTAAACATAGCTACTTTGTACCTGTAGCTGGACCGTAGTTACAATGTAAACCCCCGCTTGGGCTCTTACGTAACTCGCCAAGGTGTGAAAACCAGGTGAAGGGTAGCTATAGACCAACACAAATGCAAATAATAAATACTAAACGTCCAGTTATGTTTTCATACGGTATCACATATCAGTTATATGTGTCAGGCACAGGCCAGGTAAAGCTTAGGTCATTCATCAAATTGTTATTTTCCTCTTCTGTTACCTAGGAGCAAAACCCATTCATTACAGTCTAACGGTCACTGTAACACCGACTAACACGCATTGTAAAATTGTACATGATCTTAATGATCGTGATGAAAAATTACAGTAATATATACAGTGTACATTAATGCAAACCAGCCTTCCGTATATTTTTCATTCCGTAATATTGATCATCAAGTTGTACCATATCGCACAGTTGTGCGGAGAAAAGCGCACAACGGGGCGAACGATTGTTAAAACCCACGGTGTGCGCACGGTATTTTTGGTGCATTGTGCGGTCACACAACTGTAGCTTAATACTTCAATGATATTTTTGAAGACAGAAGAACATAGTTTATGCATATGTGGTATAGTCAATATCCTGCTACATCGCTTTGTTAAGTTCTTACTTCTTTTCCATAAAAAATGTTTTTCAAATTACCCGAGATTATAAATATCCATACAAAGACAGTATTCCAATACACGATGAATTTAAACGTATATATGCTGTTTGTTTATGATGCAGGCATTGTTGACGACTAATTTACATAGCTTGACATTTTTCAAATAGCTTCTAAGCGCCTCATTATTTATATGCATGCTTCCTTTGTTATAATTGTTCTCGAAATCAAAAATAGGAAATCAGTATGGTTGTTTATTGTATGGCAATATATGGGAAGAGACGCTTGAAGATTTGATCGAAATCATTTTTTGAATTTGGGATTAATAAACAATACTATATGCTGTATTGGGAACGTCGGCATAACGAGTAATTGTTTGAAAAATGGATTTTCTTTTTAAGACAGAATAAGAAATCAGTTTATATGTCACACGGGATTGCAAAAACAAAGCGTGGGTTGTTGTTGGTTAAAATTGATATCTGCTTAGGGATATAAAATATAGCGTATGATTAATGCGTTACAACGTATCGAATAATGAACGGTATTTCATTTCCAAATGGTGTTTTTTAACTGATTTTTTAAAATTATTCTTCATTATTGTTTAGCAGTTAAAACTACGGAAAAGAATAAACATTGTTTGTGTACCGATATTACATTTTCCTTTGCCTCCTTATTTATGTATGGCTATTTAGTTTACAATGGTTGATAATATTGAATCATTTACAAACCTAAATAAAACCTTAAACACACTTGTACCAAAGTCGATATGACTACTTGATGCTGCCTCTGTCACATTATCATACATGACTCAAAAAATTCGGATAAGAATCAAAATACACAGGACTATCAAAGTCCGTCCGGTAGGATGCATATAAAGTGAATGGAGTTGTATCAGATAAGTAAGGGATGAACGATAAAGGTAAGGGACCCTATCAAAATAAGTTAATGATAAAATTGGAAAAATAGTTACATACTCAATTAAACTTTATACAGGACTTCAAACAAAGAGAAGGTATTATCGACTTTATCAGTTCATATTTGCATAGGAAACAAAATCGTTTTATTTTAGTTTTTCAAGGTTTAAAATAACGAACGGTGTTTCAGTTCGTTGTCGTTCTTTTGTATTTTTTAACTCATGTTCATCATTATTATTTTCTATATGGCCCTCGGCAGTACGAAATTTTCCGTCAGCTCTTGGAAACACCATCGGCCTATTATTTTTTGCTACTCGTTTGTCCCTAATCAGAAAAACATCGGCTGTTTGAAAATTCCTCTGATCCTTTGTCCATTTACGTTGCTGTTGTAGGGTATCCAGGAACTCCAGCGTTTCCATAAAGCATCTGCCAACACTTGCACTCTTTTCCACTGTGCACGATACATGTCATTGATGTACACAGGCAGGGATATTTTTACACTGGTATCAGATTTTTTGGTGATGATCATGGAAGGACTGAGTGGAATAGAATTGTGTGGGTCACATTATAAGTCAACAAGAGGGTGGGGGTTCATGATTGAAGTCGCCTCGACTAGAAACATTGATAGCACCTCATGTGTAAGCGCACCCCTTGCAGTATTCATAAGGAGAGAATCCAAAATTATCTTAGCTACGCCTATCATCCGTTCCCATACTCCTTCTCATGTGGGAAGAGTGCGGTGGGTTGGAGACCCACCCACATTCCTTGTCCAAGAAGAAATCCTGGACTTGTCTCTCCTCGACGTTGATCCCAAGATCACTGGTTGATCCAACAAAATTGTTTCCTCTGTCTGATCCTATAAGAGTTTACTTACCTCTTATGACACAGAATCCTATCACTGAGTTTATGAATCTCGATGTGGACAGCTGTGGATGTTAGGCATGCGAACATGCCAGTCCAACGTTTATTGTTCACTTGTCCACCCCTAGTACGTCTTGCCAAGGACCCAAGCAATAAATATCGACTGATGAAAAAGGAGGTCCTGGTTGGAGTCTTTCAGAGGGCACAGTATCCGGAGTCACATATAGCACAAGCGGTAAAGTGACGACCTTGATTACAAACGTTCTTGTGACATTGCCGAACAATCAATATGTCCAACCGATGTTTCCCTGGTAGAAGAATGAGTTTCCTTCACACGTAGGAACGCTTGCATTTACTTATCCAACACGGATAACACCATTACCGTCTAGCACCGGTGATAGTGAAAGAAGACTATTGGTCCTCGGTAAAGGCTTTCCACTCTGTTGGCAATCAATTTCTTTTTTGTTGAATTCCTGATGTACATGTTTTACAATAAAGATCTCTGCTTGTTTTTAGGATTCTACAGTCTTCAATTATTTTTAGCACATACTTGACAACCATGACATTTGTCTTCTGTGTCTCTCTTAAACCCTTTGGCTAAGTATTGTAGATAGGCGATAGCTCTCACAAGTTTCTTTAGACAAGAAACCCTGCCAATTCTGTCCATACCTAGTGTGGTAACTAGTCGAGTTTAACAGGATGTAATGGGCCTGAGCTCCTTGTCTATTTCCGAGTGTTGAAGACCAAATGTCTCAGGGGTCTTGTCGCTATCAATGACACGAGGACCATCAAGCCACATGCTACTAGCAAAGTCCTCAGACGGAATAGACATGGTACCTAAATATGCAGGAATCAATTTGGTTGGTACATAAAACCAATGTTCAAGTTTAGTCATGTATCTTTTCATTGCAACTATATTGGTCCCATACTTGTAGTACTTGCGTAACCGAGCTACCATGCTATCGATATGGAAGTAGAATTCCTCAACGGGAATATCCAAATGGTCAGATACTTTCTCTGCCAGTTCAGAAGCTAAATGTAGAACAGCACCACAAACTTCAAGTCTAGGCATGGTATGTCCTTGGCTTGGTCCCACCTTGGCTTTTCCAAGCACAAATCCAACATTTTCTTGACCGTTTAGCGAGTGTCTTTCTGTAACTTTTGAAAATTAACTAACGAGGGTGAAATAAATACCATACTCAACAGCCACGAGTCGTGTGATCTGTTTCTACCACAATCTCATGATCAGTCGGAAATAACATACACACATGTGTGTGTTGACAAAGCTGGCGTAGTGATATGACCCATATGTAAAAAATCACTCATTAAAATTCAAAAACAACTTCTTTTTACAAATTTAATAATTGTCAAAATTCATGTTTCGGCAACAACTTCATAAAAAATATAATAAATGAACGACTTTAAATATTGAGAGTAGCAGTATTGCATTAATTTTATAAATTAACCACAGACTATATGCGCGTAAGCATATCGTACGAAGTCTGCCTCCCGCCTAGTGACGAAGACGAACTTATCGCTGTCAATGTCCAAACCCATAGGCCTACGTTTTTTCTTGACGGTTCTATGTCTGACGTTTATAGTGAAAGTTCAGGCATAGTCAGGCCGTCCAAATAGCGATAACGGGACGTTGGGAGAACGAAATATTTTCCAACACTGTGACAGATCTTGTTTTGGTTTCACGACCTGGACACGCGACGGTGTGACGTCGAACCGATATCGAGCTTCTGTAGCAATTTTGCCTGAGACTAGCGATCAAATCTTTAAGTATCATCTTCTTTAATATTGCCTTAATAACCCCCTTTTCCGCAAAACCTCACAAAGTCACCAACATTTGTCGGATGTTGATAGCAAACGACGTAAATAAAACAGCATGTGGCAAAAAGCGTGTGGAAAAAGTCGCCCCGGTCAAAGTTCATCTTCTCGACCAATCAAAACTCTTGAAGGTCATATTCCACGTGTGGTATATAACTCATATTTATTATTATGCAATAATCTGAGTGTGGAACAACACAGCGTACTGTGGTAGAAACATTTTTTACTTCGCCTCTAGCTTCTTCCTGCATATTTAATTCACAACGGTTAACAAGATTGAATAATTTACAAACCAAAATATAACTTGAAATCACACATTTACCAAAGCCGATATGTCCACTACACATTGCCTCTGTCACATCATTTTACTTGACTCAAGAAAATCGAGATCAGAAACAAAGCGCAAAAGGCTATCAGAATATGTCCGGTAAAACGCAGAGATCGGAAATGGAGTTATTGCTGGTGTGGCAAGTGATGAAAGATAACGTTAAGGGACTTGATTCAAAACAGCTCATTTGAAATTTCATAAAATTGGAAAAGATAGCATACACGCAGTCATACGTTAAACAGGATGTCAAACAAAAGAATGTAATTCTTCATTGGAACAAAATTGTTTAATTGTGATTTTTTAATGTTTAAAATAACAAACGGTGTTTCAGTTTGTTGTCGTTCTGTTGTATTTTTACCCTTCTGTGTTGTTTTTTTTTTTTTTTTTTTTTTTTTTTTTGTCTATTACGGCGCTGGTTATATCTGCTGACAATTACTGTTTATGTCATTCTGTTATATTTCTTCTCTCTACACTTGCCATATTCTGTTATAAATATTACAAATAATGACTACTTTTAATCATTTTACGTACTTAAGAGCAAATGTGGGAACCCAGATATCAATGTATTGAAAAACACACCTTATTCGGATCAGCTCCTTTTTCCAACAATAGCTGAACGATATCGGTTTGGCCACGACGTGCTGCATCTGACAATGCACCAGACTGGATAAAAATAAACATCATATCAGTAAATAAAATGGGAGTTAACAAGGATTATGTTATCACTACAGGTCAAAAAGATCTTTTAGGAAAATACAGTAATTGTGGAAATGTTTTCGTTGTTCTTTATCGACTTGATTTATTTATTAACAATGATTGGTTAATAATCTTGATATACATAAACGACATTTTGTTAGACTATAAAACATAGTTTATGCATATTTGATATTGTCAATTTTCTGTTTATGACATTCCTTCGTTATAATCAATGTTCTGTATTCATAATAAATGTATGTTCAAATGACCCGTGAAAATTAATATCCAATCAAAACCAAAGTTTCAATACACGATTTCAAACGTATATATGCTGTGTGCTTATGATGCAGGCATTATTGACAACTAATTAATTTGTCTGGATTGACGTCTTTCAAAAACAAAATTCAACATTTTATCATTGATTTTATGCTCATAGAACAACAATAAACATTGTTTGTGTCCAGATACACATTTTCCCTCCGCCTGTGGACTTCTTCCTCCATATTTAATTCACAACGGTTAACAAGATTGAATCATTTACAAACCAAAATATAACTTGAAATCACACATTTACCAAAGCCGATATGACCATTACACATTGCCTCTCTCACAACATTATACTCGACTCACGAAAATTCAGATAAGAGACAAAATGAAAAAGATTATCAGAATATGTCCGATAAGACGCAGATATGGGATATGGAGTTATTTCTAGCGAAATAGGGGATGAAATACAACGCTAAGATACTTGATTAAAATCAGCTAAGGTGAAAATTCATCCAGTTGGAAAAATGACATACACGCAGGCATACACGTTACACGGTATTGCAAACAAAACGTTGTAATTCTTGACAATAACAATTAATATCTGCATTGGAACAAAATTGTATAATTGTAGTTTTTTTAATGTTTGAAATAACTAACTGTGTTTCAGTTCGTTGTCGNTCTATTACGGCGCTGGTTATATCTGCTGACAATTACTGTTTATGTCATTCTGTTATATTTCTTCTCTCTACACTTGCCATATTCTGTTATAAATATTACAAATAATGACTACTTTTAATCATTTTACGTACTTAAGAGCAAATGTGGGAACCCAGATATCAATATATTGAAAAACACACCTCATTCGGATCAGCTCCTTTTTCCAACAATAGCTGAACGATATCGGTTTGGCCACGACGTGCTGCATCTGACAATGCACCAGACTGGATAAAAATAAACATCATATCAGTAAATAAAATGGGAGTTAACAAGGATTATGTTATCACTACAGGTCAAAAAGATCTTTTAGGAAAATACAGTAATTGTGGAAATGTTTTCGTTGTTCTTTATCGACTTGATTTATTTATTAACAATGATTGGTTAATAATCTTGATATACATAAACGACATTTTGTTAGACTATAAAACATAGTTTATGCATATTTGATATTGTCAATTTTCTGTTTATGACATTCCTTCGTTATAATCAATGTTCTGTATTCATAATAAATGTATGTTCAAATGACCCGTGAAAATTAATATCCAATCAAAACCAAAGTTTCAATACACGATTTCAAACGTATATATGCTGTGTGCTTATGATGCAGGCATTATTGACAACTAATTAATTTGTCTGGATTGACGTCTTTCAAAAACAAAATTCAACATTTTATCATTGATTTTATGCTCATAGAACAACAATAAACATTGTTTGTGTCCAGATACACATTTTCCCTCCGCCTGTGGACTTCTTCCTCCATATTTAATTCACAACGGTTAACAAGATTGAATCATTTACAAACCAAAATATAACTTGAAATCACACATTTACCAAAGCCGATATGACCACTACACATTGCCTCTCTCACAACATTATACTCGACTCACGAAAATTCAGATAAGAGACAAAATGAAAAAGATTATCAGAATATGTCCGATAAGACGCAGATATGGGATATGGAGTTATTTCTAGCGAAATAGGGGATGAAATACAACGCTAAGATACTTGATTAAAATCAGCTAAGGTGAAAATTCATCCAGTTGGAAAAATGACATACACGCAGGCATACACGTTACACGGTATTGCAAACAAAACGTTGTAATTCTTGACAATAACAATTAATATCTGCATTGGAACAAAATTGTATAATTGTAGTTTTTTTAATGTTTGAAATAACTAACTGTGTTTCAGTTCGTTGTCGTTCTTTTGTTTTTTAACTCTCTGTTTCATTTTTGTTTTATTTTCTATAACTGCGTTGCTTATATCTGCTGACCATAATTGTTTATGTCATGATGATAAATTTCTTTCTACACTTGTCATATTCTAATAGAAAGATTACAAATAGTGACTACTTTCAATCATTTTACGTACTTAAGAGCAAATGTGGGAACCCAGATATCAATGTATTGAAAAACACACCTTATTCGGATCAGCTCCTTTATCCAACAATATCTTAACGATGTCGGTATAGCATCCACGTACTGCATCGGACAATGCAGGATACTGTATGAAAATAAACATCATATCAGTAAATAAAATGGGAGTAAACAAGGATTATGTTATCAATACAGGTCAAAAACATTTTTTAGGAAAATACAGTAATTGTGAAAATGTTTTCGTTGTTCTTAATCGACCTTATTTATTTATAAACAATCATTGGTTTATAATCTTGATATACACAAACGTCATTTTTCTATATTGGAAAACAAAGGTTAATGCATATTTGAAATTGTTATTTTTCTGTCAACTATATCGCTTCGTAATTATCAATGTTCTGTATTCATTATAAATGTATAGTCAAATGACCCGTGATTATTAATTTCCAATCAAAAACAATGTTTCAATACACGATTTCAAACGTTTAAATGCAGTGTGCTTATGATGCAGGCATTATTGACAACTAATGAATATGTCTTGATTGACCTCTTTCAAATAACTTTTTTTTCCCATTTTTTCCCTGCTTTATGCAATAAGACGATTTGCAAAATGAAATTATAATAAAAAAGAAAATAAATATGTTCAATAAGAGTCATCATTTTTGAAATATGTGATATCAAAGTTTCACTTTCTACACAAACAATGTATGTATAAAACTCACCCAGTCATAGCTTGACAAATGGTCCAGTCGGTCTTTAAACGTTACGACACGTTATATACGTATATTGTTTGTGTGGGAAGCAAAACTTCGATATCAAATTAAATATGTTTTTCCGTGTGTTTAAACGCATCGGAAAAAGAGGAGCTTGATGATTTGATCAAATCAGCTTATATTAAATTTCAAAACTTTAATATTAAAACAATATGCCATATGATATTTTGAATTAGTCGGCATAATGCGTAATTTTTGCTTTAAAATAGATTTGTTTTGTTAGATCAGATAAGATATTTTGATAATATGATACACGGATTGCACAATCAAAGCGTTATTGTTGTTTGTTTTAGTTAATGTCTGCGTATGACTATAACATACAACGTATGATTGTTGCGTTATAATGTTTGGAATAATATGCGGTGTTTCATTTCGATATGGTGGTGATTTTAACTCTTCTTTTTTTAAGTTGTCGATTTGTTTTATTGTTTTACGTCGAAAAACATTGAACAAGAATGAACATTGTTTGTGTCCAGAAACACATTTTTCCTTCGCCTCGGAACTTCTTCCTGAATATTTAAATCACAACGGTTAACAAGATTGAATCATTTACAAACCAAAATATAACTTGAAATCACACATTTACCAAAGCCGAAATGAACACTACACATTGCCTCTCTCACAACATTATACTTGACTCACGAAAATTCGGATCAGAGACAAAATGAAAAAGATTATCAGAATATGTCCGATAAGACGCAGATATGGGATATGGAGTTATTTCTAGCGAAATAGGGGATGAAATACAACGCTAAAAGACTTGATTAAAAACAGCTAATGTGAAATGTCATCAAGTTGGTAAAACGAAATACACGCAGTCATACGTTATACGGAATTTCAAACATAACGTTGCAATTCTCGACCATAACAGTTAATATCTGCATTGGAACAAAAGTGTATAACTGTAGTTTTTTAATGTTTAAAATAGCAAACGTTGTTTCAGTTTGTTGTCATTCTGTTTTATTTTCTATTACTGCGTTGCTTATATCTGATGACCATAACTGTTTGTGTAATGACGTTATATTTCTTCTCTCTACATTTGTCATATTCTGATATAAAGATTACAAATAATGACTACTTGCAATCATTTTACGTACTTAAGAGCAAATGTGGGAACCCAGATATCAATATATTGAAAAACACACCTTATTCGGATCAGCTCCTTTGTCCAACAATTTCTTAACGATGACAGTATAGCCTGCACGTGCTGCATCGGACAATACACTAAACTGGATAAAAATAAATGTCATATCAGTAAATAAAATGGTACATGCAGTTAACAATGTTATGTTATCACTACAGGTCAAAAACGTCTTTTTAGGAAAATACAGTAATTGTTAAAATGTTTTCGTTGTTCTTAATTGACTTGATTTATTTATTAACAATCAATGGTTTATAAACTTGATATACATAAACGACATGAATGGAAAACAAAGATTAATGCATATTTGATAAAGTCCATTTTCTGTCAACTACATAGTTTCGTAATAATCAATGTTCTGTATTCATTATAAATATATGTTTTAATGACCCGTGATTATTTATATCCAATCAAAAACAATGTTTCATTACATGATTTCAAACGTATATATGCTGTGTGCTTATGATGCATGCATTATTGACAACTAGTTGATTTGTCTTGATTGACGTCTTTCAAATAACTTTTCAACATGTTATCATTTATTTTATGCTTTATGGAATAAGACTCACCCAGTCATAGCTTGATAAAAGGACCAGTCGGTCTTGAAACGTTGCGACACGTTAAATACGTACATTATTTGTGTAGGAAGCAAAACTTCGATATCAAGGTAGATATGTTTTTCCGTGTGTTTTAACGCATCGAAGGAGGCGCTTGAAGATTTGATCAAATCAGCTAATATTAAATTTTATAACTTTGATATTAAAACAAAATACCATATGCTATTTTGAATTAATCGGCAAAATTCGTAATTTTTGCTTTAAAAACCAATTTGTTTTGTAAGATAGGTTAAGATATTTTGTTTATATGTTACACGGGATTGCAAAATCAAAGCATGTATTGTTGTTTGTTTTAGTTGATGTCTGCGTATGACTATAACATACAACGTATGATTGTTGCGTTATTATGTTTATAATACATGTTATATACGGTGTTTTCATTTCGATTTTTAAAACTAATATTTACTTTGATTGTTTTAAGTAAAAAAAACATTTAATCAGAATAAACATTTATTATGTCCAGATATATATGTTTCTTTGCCTCTAAACTTCTTCATGGACATTTAGTTCATGACTGTAAAGAACATTAAATTATTCACAAACCCATATATAACTTGAAATCATACATTTACCATAGCCGATATGAACACTAAACTCTGCTGCTGTCAAAGTATTATACTTGACTCACGAATATCCAGATCAGAAACAACATGCAAAAGACTGTCAGAGTGCGTCCGGTAAATCGAAGAGAAAGAAAAGGGATTTTTTTGTCTGGTGTGGCAAGGGATTAAAGATAACGTTAAGGGACTCGATTAAAATCAGCTAATGTGAAGTTTGATCACGTTTGAAAAAATATAATCATCCGCAGTTATACGTTACAAAAAATTGCCATTCTCGACCAGAACAGTTAATATCTTCATTGGAACAAAACTGTTAAATTGTAGTTTTTTAATGTTTAAAAATACGAACGATGTTCTATTCGTTGTTCTGTTGTATTTTACCAATCTGTTTTGTTTTTGTTTTATTTCTATTACAGCGTTGCTTATATCTGCTGACCATTATTGTTTATGTCAAAACGTTATATTTCTTCTCTCTACATTTGTCATATTCTGATATAAAGATTACAAATAATGACTACTTTCAATCATTCTAAGTACTAAGGAGCAAATGTTGGAACCCATATAACAACATATTGAAAAACACACCTCATTCGGATCAGCTCCTTTGTCCAACAATATATTAAAGATGCCGGTATAGCCTCCACGTGCTGCATTGGACAATGCAGGATACTGGATAAAAATAAACATCATAACAGTAAACAAAATAGGAGTTAACAAGGATTATGTTATCACTACAGGTCAAAAATATCTTTTAGGAAAATACAGTAATTGTGAAAATATTTTCGTTGTTCTTAATTGACTTGATTTATTTATTAACAATCATTGGTTTATAAACTTGATATACATAAACGACATCATTTTAGACTGGAAAATATAGTTTAATACATATTGGATATTGTTAATTTTTTTTCAAGTACATCGCTTTGTAATAATCAATGTTCTGTATTCATTATAAATGTATGTTCAAATGACCCGTGAATATTAATATCCAATCAAAACCAATGTTTCATTAGAAGATTTCAAACGTATATATGCTGCGTGCTTATGATGCAGGCATTATTGACAACTAATTAATTTGTCTTGATTGACAACTTTCAAATATCTTTTCAACATTTTATCATTTATTTCATGCCTTATGCAATAAGACGGTTTGCCAAATAATATAATAAAAAATAGGAAAGTAAATATATTCAATAAGATTCATCAATTTAGAAATATCTGATATCAAAGTTTCACTTCCTTCATAAACAATGTACATTTAAAACTAACCCAGTCATAGCTTGACAAAGGGACCAGTCGGTCGGTAAACGTTGCCACACGTTTAATACGTACATTGTTTGTGTGTGAAGCAATACTTCGATATCAAATTAAATATGTTTTTTCCGTGTGTTTTAACGCATCGAAGGAGGCACTTGAAGATGTGATCAAATCAGCTGATATTAAATTTCATAACTTTGATATTGAAACATAATCCCATATGCTATATCGAATTAGTCGGCATAATGCGTAATTTTTGCTTTAAAATGGATTTGTTTTGTTAGAAATGATAAGATATTTTCTTAATAGGTTACACAGGATTGCAAAATCAAAGCGTGTATTTGTTGTTTCTTTTAGTTGATGTCTGCGTATGACTATAACATACAACGAATAATTGTTGCGTTATAATGGTTGGAATACATGTTATATACGGTGTATTCATTTCAATATGGCGGTGATTTTAAATGATTTTTTAAACTTATTTTTGGTATTACTTTTTAACATATTTTTTTTTTTTTAAATCAGAATAAACATTAATTGTGTCCAGATATAAATGTTTCCTCCGCCTCTAAACTTCTTCATGGACATTTAGTTCACAACGTTAAAGAACATTCAATTATTTACAAACCCAAATATAACTTGAAATCATACATTTACAAAAGCCTATATGACCCCTAAACTCTGCTGCTGTCAAAGTATTATACTTGATTCACGGAAACCCAGATCAGAAACAACATGCGAAAGACTATTAGAGTCCGACCCGGTAAATCGAATAGAAAGAAAAAGGAGGTTTTGTCTGGTGTGGCAAGGAATTAAAGATAATGTTAAGGGACTTGATTAAAATCAGCTAATGTGAAGTTTGATCACGTTTGAGAAAATAAATATATCCGCAGTTATACGTTACACGGAATTTCAAACAAACGTTCGCCAGTCTCGACCATACCAGTGAATATCTGCATTGTAACAAAATGGTTTCATTGTTGTTTTTTTAATATTTAAAATAACCAACGGTGTTTCAGTTCGTTGTCGGTCTATTGTATTTTACCCTTCTGTTTTATTTTTGTTTTTATTTCTATTACTGCGTTGCTTATATCTGCTGACCATTATTGTTTATGTCATGACGATATATTTCTTCTCTCTACACTTGTCATATTCTGGTATAAAGATTACAAATATTGACTACTTTCAATCATTTTACGTACTTAGGAGCAAATGTGGGAACCTATATGGCAAGCTATTGAAAAACACACCTTATTCGGATCAGCTCCTTTGTCCAACAATAACTTAACGATGTCGGTATGGCCTCCACCTACTGCATCGTACAATGCACGATACTGGTAAAAATAAACATCATATCATTAAATAAAATGGGAGTTAATATACAGTTTAAGTATGGGGTTTAGGGATGTAGCAAGTCTCTGGTGTCTTGACACCAGATCTATTTCCCGAGGCGAACTCAACCCCATACTTTAACCGTTTTATTATTCCGATACATACTGGAGATATAAATTCAATTAGAAAATATTCGTAAACCATAAGCTGCATTATAAGCTTCACGTCCCAACTATTCAAACTGGACAAGTAGTGCACTTCCTTTTGTTGTGGTGGGAGAAAAAAAAGCGTATGCCTGGAGGAAATTGTACTTTCCTAATTAATATGAAATGCAGCTGGTGCTACCAAGGCTCAGGAAAACTCACAAAGGGATGTAAAATTGAAAAAGTTGATCAATTTATTTTTCAACAACAAATAATATTAATAAAGATATCATAAGATATATATTTAAACAAACAAATGAATAAAGCACTTGTAACCACACCTAATTGATCTTGCTGAAGATACAAATTAATAGTAACAAGTTAACAACAAAAATAATAAAGTAACATCTCCCTGATTTTTTCTGTAAATCGGACCAGGAAATCAGTCATCCAAAGTTAATGTTTCGTAACATTAAATGTAACTTGCCAGTTTGAAAAGTTAAAAGTGGAAGATGGACCGGGACTTTGGTGATTACCGGGCCAGTACTAGTGAGGGAACACTTTTGCTCATTAATCAAAGACAAGAGATTGTCAATTTCATCATCTTCAAGGAAGTCTGGAATATGTGACAGCGACTGAGCAGGAGGAAGTGGAGCTGGTTGACTCAAGCTGCTTGTTCTGCTGGCTGTAGATGTTGCAAACATTTTTTTCAGTTTTTGATGGTGGGGCAATATTTTCACTCAATATATCAGACATTTGACGTTTCTTGTCATCGCTTAATTTTGAACTAAAAAAAAACATGCTGTGCCGGTCCTCCACGCCCTTGTCGTCAAGTGTAGTAATGATAGTAGCCTTGACACAGTGGTTAGTGTACCTCTTAATTTGATGGTAGTATTGGCTGAGTTTTTGCATGGAGGTATACAGCGCATTCTTTCCCACAGGAACATTGTCATACCAGATGGAGTCATCCTCATTAACTTGCTTTTAAGGCCTCTGTCAGAAGTTGTTGTTGTCCTGGTGAAATTTATCGGCATATTTCTTGAATGATGCCACTGGACAGCTGTAATATATAAAACAAGTTTGTTAGAAAAACTATACCACAGTATGTTTATTATATTATGATATAACAAGTTTATAAAATATTCTATATTGTTAATGTAGTTGTGCTTCTGTGTCATTCTCCATCCATTTTGATCGAGAGGGTAAGCCTTATTTAAATAAGATGAAGAAAAAATGATGACACTATATTTCTGAAGTTTGGGTGTGATGTCGCTTTGTTTGGAGTGCAATTTATAAACTTGATTCATAGAAGTAGCTTGAGCATGTGCAATGCTGTATATTTATTATATGCTAATTATGTATAACTAATTTTGTCGATAGTCTGTGAATTGAACAAGTTTGTATATCTTTCATTATCTAGAATAGCAAACAACAATTATTTTGGGGTTATATTTATTGTATAAACACTTTGCCTAGTTTTTTTGTGTGTTAAATATATATGAAACACCAAATAGACCTGGCATCCATATATCAGTCTCTGCAAACACGGTGGGCTTTTCAATTTATGTCTCATTAAGACAAAAGAAACTTAATCAACTAAAGAATATCAACAGCAAATCAAGGTTTTCCTGCTGAACTACAACTGTATTGTGCAGTAGGCATAATACACATTTTACTTGGACATCCTTCATGGTGTTAAAACATTGTCTTTGTATGATGAAGTGTACATGAACAGAGGACAAAAGAAAGAAACTTAAACCAAGAAGTAGGCATCGAGTTAACAAGTTTTAAAGCTGGAGCCCTGGAGGTGTCAGATGTTCGTGAATTTAGGTCACTGTTTCCAAAAAAATATTCACAGACAGATGTGACGTGACACAATTCATTGTTATATGTCCATCTTCACTCTTGTCTTGCTAGAACTCCATGCCTTAGACAATTTTATCTGCACGATATGAACACACATTCCCACTCCAGACCCCCCCTCCCCCACCGCGTCCCCCGTTCTCGCCACACACACACATATCGCATATGCCTTCCGCTCAAATGTTATATTTAACAATCAAAGCACCTGTACGTGAAAGTGTAAAACTGTAAGTGTATGAAGCGTGTTTTGTAAACGTACCTGGCTTGTCGTACATTCGCCCCTGTTTGTTGTCTTTGTCAATAATGTTGTCGCCTCGGTGGATCTTCGTTTGTTTTGATGTGACAACAACGTACTCCCTTCCGGAGAGTCCATTCCAATAGTGAAGTCACCCTTGTTGAGCTCNTCTCCTTTCTAAATAACTTTCTTCTTCCTAATGTCTCCCTTGACAATGCCTCACTTTTGGCCATTTGTTGAGCGTTCGCCCCTGTGAGGAAGGCTTTGGGTTCTGTCCCCTGGCCGAGACATACCAAAGTCTTTAAAAATGGTAGTTTCTACTCCTGCTTAACGCTCAGCAAATTAGGAGTGGGACGACTGGTTCGCCCGTTGTCAGTATAATGTGACCGGGTGGGGCGTCCTGCTGGGTGTCTTCGGCAGTATGTTTCAGTGAGGTAGCACTATAAAGTCGGCATCAGTTCCGCGCTATCACAAGGAGACAAACACGAACATATCGCAGCCTCCCAAAATACACACACATACACTACACGCATGCATCTTGCACACAGGGGGGCCGTCCTTAAATGACCTTAGCTGTTAATAGGACGTTAAACAAAATCAAACAAACAAACAAACAGATGTTCTATTCCGCGGTTACAGAAATAATACAGGTACTCAAACATAACTTTCCTTTGAAGGACATCAGCGGCAAACTTCGGCATAAAATTGTCTTACAATCTGATCACACTCGTTAACTTAACAGCTGTCAACCTCGTCAATATGTTTACCTTTTGCCTCCAACGGATGCCTTTACAGGTTTTTTGTACCTTACAAATCCCTTTCCTGGAGGAGAGTCTTTAGATCACTTTCATCAAGTTCGGAAAATGTTGAAAGCGTCATAGGCCTAATTTAGGAAACAAGAGAAAGTGTCGGCTGCACAGTAGGAGGCGCGTTCTGTAGCAAGCTCCGCCCACATCGCGCGCCGCTTCCGAGTTCGATAGCAAGCTCCGCCCACCTTGCGTGTCGCTTCCGAGTTCGGTAACAAGTTCCGCCCACCTATCGCCTGATTGGCTCGGCGGAAACACCCGAGTGTAGGTGTGTTTTAGATCAGGAGGTGTGTTTTAGTTTCCAGACTAACACACAGGACTAAACCACAGTTAGGCAAAAGTGGGGATATAATCGATTTAACCAACTACATTTATATAGAGTTAATAAAGTTGAGGTATAATAACAAGGATTATGTTATCACTACAGGTCAAATACATCTTTAAGGGAAAAAAGTAATTGTGAAAACGTTTTCGTTGTTCTTAAACGACTTGATTTATTGATAAACAATCATTGGTTTATTAAGTTGATATACATAAACGACATATTTAGACTGGAAAACATAGATTAATGCAAATTTAATATAGTCCATATTGTGTCAACTACATCGCTTTGTAAAAGTCAATGTTCTATATTCAGTATACCTGTATGTTCAAATGACCCGTGATTATTAATTTCCAATCAAATTCAATATTTCAATACAGGATTTCAAACGTTTATTTACTGTGTGCTTATGATGCAGACATTATTGATAACTAATTAATTTGTTTTGATTGACGTCTTTCAAATAACTTTTCAACATTTTATCATTTATGTTATGTTTTATGCAATGTCTGATTGCATAAAACATAAATTAAATGATAAAATGTTGAAAGGTTTGCAAAATAATATAATACTAAAAAAAAAGAATATAAATATGTTCAATAAGATTCATCAATATAGAAATATGTGATATCAAAATTTCACTTCCACCACAAACAATGCACATACAAAACTCATCAAGTCATAGCTTGCAAGGGGAACAGTCGGTCTTGAAACGTTGCGACACGTTAAATTCGATATCAAAATAAAGATGTTTTTCCGTGTGTTTTAACGCATCAAAGAAGGCACTTGAAGATTTGATCAAATCAGCGGATATTAAATTTCATAACTTTGATATTAAGACAAAATACCATTTGGTTTTTTATCAGTCGGCATCATGCGTAATTTTTGCTTTAAAAATGATTTTGTTTTGAAAGAAAGGATAAGATAAGTTGTTTATATGTCACGTGGGATTGCAAAATCAAAGCGTGTATTGTTGTTTGTTTTAGTTGATGGCTGCGTATGAATATAACATTCACCGTATGATTGTTGCGTTAAAATGTTTGGAATACATGCTATATACGGCGTTTTCATTTCGATATGGCGGTGATTTTAGATATTTTTTAAAAGCTAATATTTGGTTTGAATGTTTTAAGTAAAAAAACTTTTAATCAGAATTAACATTAATTGTTTCCGGATATAAATGTTTTCTTCGCCTCTAAACTTTTTCGTGGACATTTAGTCACAACATTAAAGAACATTTAATTATTTTCAAACCAATATATAACTCGAAATCATACCTTTACACTCGAAATCATACATTTACCAAAGCCGATATGACCACTAGACTCTGCTGCTGTCAAAGTATTATACTTGACTCACGAAAGTCTAGATCAGAAACAACATGCAAAAGACTATCAGAGTCCGTTCGGTAAATCGAATAGAAAGAAAAAGTGTTTTTGCTGGTGTGGCAAAGGATGAAAGATAACTTCAAGGGACTTGATTAGAATCAGCTAATGTGTAGTTTGATCACGTTTGAAAGAAATATATAAAACCGCAGTTATGCGTTACACGGAATTTCACACAAAAAATTGTCATTCTCGATCATAAAAGTTAATATTTTCATCGAAACAAAATTGTTTAAATGTAGTTTATTAATGTTTAAAATAACGAACGGTGTTTCAGTTTGTTGTCGTTCTGTTTTATTTTACCCCTCTGTGTTATTTTTGTTTTATTTTTTATTACTGCGTTGCTTATATCTGCTGATCATTATTGACTATGTCATGACGTTATATTTCTTCTTTCTACACTTGTCATATTCTGATATAAAGATTACAAATAATGACTACTTTCAATCATTTTAAGTACTTAAGAGCAAATGTAAGAACCCATATATCAATATATTGAAAAACACACCTCATTCGGATCAACTTCTTTGTCCAACAATATCTTTACGATGTCGGTATAGCCTCCAAGTGCTGCATTGGACAATGCACTAGACTGGATTAAATAAACATCACATCAGTTAATAAAATGGGAGTTAACAACGATTATGTTATCACTACAGGTGAAAAACATATTTGAGGAGAATACAGTAATTGTGAAAATGTTTTCGTTGTTCTTAATTGACTTGTTTATTTATTAACAATCATTGGTTTATAAACTTGATATATATGAACCACATTATTTTAGACTGGAAAACATAGATTAATGGATATTGGATATTGTAAATTTTCTTTCAACTACATCGCTTTGTAATAATCAATAACCAGTATTCATTATAAATGTATGTTTAAATGACCCGTGAACATTAATATCCAATCGAAACCAATGTTTAAATACACGTTTTCAAACTCATACCTGCTGTTGGCTTTTGATGCACGTATTATTGACAATTAATTAATTTGCCTTGATTGACGTCTTTCAAATAACTTTTCAACATTTTATCATTTATTTCATGCTTTATCCACTAAGACGGATTGCAAAATAAGATATTAAAAAAAAGATGATGATAAATATGTTCAATAAAGATTCAACACATTTGGGATATATGATATCAAAGTTTTACTTCCTACAAAAACAGTGTACATATAAAAATCACCCAGTCATAGCTTGACAAAGGGACCAGTCGGTCGTGAAAAGTTGCGACACGTAAAATACATACATTGTTTGTGATGGAAGCAAAACTTCGATATCAAATTAAATATGTTTTTCCGTGTGTTCTAACGAATCGAAGCTAGCGCTTGAAGATGTAATCAAGTCAGGTAATATAGAATTTCATAACTTAGAAATTAAAACGAAATACCATATGCTATTTTGAATAAGTCTGAGTAATGCGTAATTTTTGCTTTTAAAATGGATTTGTTTTGTAAGATAGTTTAAATATTTTGTTAATATGTCGCACGGGATTGCAAAATCGAAGCGTGTATTTGTTGTTTGTTTCAGTTGATGTCTGCGTATGAATATACCACACAACATATGATTGTTGCTTTATATTGTTAGGAATACATGTATATATGTTTTTCATTTTGATATGGCAGATACTTTAAATGATTTTTAAACTAATATTTTGTAATATTGGTTAACGTTTAAAATAACGAACGGTGTTTCAGTTCGTTGTCGTTCTGTTGTAGTTTACCCTACTGTTTTATTTTTGTTTTATTTTCTTTTACTGCGTTGCTTATATCTGCTGACCATTATTCTCTCTACACTTGTCATATCCTGGTATAAAGATTACAAATAATGAATACTTTTAATCATTTTACGTACTTAAGAGCAAACGTTGGAACCAATATATCAATGTATTGAAAAAACACACCTCATTCGGATCAGCTCCTTTGTCCAACAATATCTCAACGATGTAGGTATTGCCTCGAAGTGCTGCATCGGACAATGCACTAGACTGGATAAAAATAAACATCATATCAGTAAATAAAATGGGAGTTAACAAGGATAATGTTATCACCACAGGTCAAAAACATCTTTTAGGAAAATACTGTAATTTTGAAAAAAAATCGTTGCTTTTAGTTGACTTCATTATGTATAAACAATCATTGGTGTATTAACTTGATATACATAAACGACATTGTTTTAGACTAGTAAACATAGATTAATGCATATTTGATATAGTCGGTTTTCTGTCAACTAAATCGCTTCGTAATAATCATTGTTCTGTATTCATTATAAATTCATGTTCAAATGACCCATGATTATTAATATCCAATCAAAAACAATGTTTCAATACACGATTTCAAACGTATATATGCTGTGTGCTTATGTTGCTGGCATTATTGACGACCAATTAATTTCTCTAGATTAACGTCTTTTCAATAACTTTTCAACATTTTATCATTTATTTCGTGCTTTAAAGAAATAAGACGGTTTTCAAAATAAAATAATATAAAAAAGAAAATAGATATGTTCAATAAGGTTCACCAGTTTAGAAATATGTGATATCAAAGTTTTACCTCCTACACAAACAATGTACGAATAAAATTCACCCAGTCATAGCTTGACAAAGGGAGCAGTCTGTCTTGAAATGTTGCGAGACGTTAAATACGTACATTGTTTGTTTTGTATGATAAGATAAGATGTTTTTTTAATATGTCACACGGGATTGCTCAGTCATAGCGTGTATTATTTTTTTTCATTTAGTTGCTGTATGCGTATGAATTTAATATATAACGTATGATTGTTGCGTTATAATGTTTAGAATAATATCCTGTGTTTCATTTCGATATATTGTTGATTTTAACTCATTTCCTTAAAATTAATAATTTGTTTTAATGTTTAACGTCGAACAAAATTTGAATATTAATGAACATTATTTGTGTCCAGAAACCCATTTTTTCTCCGCCTCTTAACTTAATCTTGCATATTTAATTCACAACGGTTAACAACATTGAATCATTTATAAACCAAAATATAACTTTAAATCACACATTTACCAAAGCCGTTATGACCACTAGACATTGCCTCTGTCACAACATTTTACTTGACTCACGAATATCCAAATCAGAAACAATATGCAAAAGACTATAGGAATATGTCCGATTAGACGCTGAGATGGAAAATGGAGTTATTTCTGGTGAAGTAATGGATGAAAGACAACGTTAAGGGACTTAACTACAAACAGATATGTGAAATTTCATCAAGTTGGAAAAAAAGACAAACACGCAGTCATACCTTACACGGAATTTCAAACAAAACGTTGTAATTCCCGGCCATAACAGTTATGTCTGCATTGGAACAAACCTTTTTCAATAAACTGTAGTTTTTTAATAATTTAAATAACGAACGGTGTTTCGGTTCGTTGTCGTTATGTTGTATTTTACCTCTCTGGTTTTTATTTTTGTTTTATTATCTATTACTGCGTTGCGTTGTTTTGCTGACCATTATTGTTTATGTCATGACGTCATATTTCTTCTCTCTACACTTGTCATATTCTGGTATAAAGATTACAAATATTGACTACTTTCAATCAGTCTACATACTTAACAGCAAATGTGGGAACCCAGATATCAATATATTGAAAACACACCTTATTCGGATCAGCTCCTTTGTCCAACAATAACTTTACGATGTCGGTATGGCCTGCATATGCCGCTCCGGACAATGCACCTGACTGAATAAAAATAAGCATCATATCAGTAAATAAAATAGGAGTTAACAAGGATCATTTCATCACCACAGGGCAAAACATCTTTTAGAAAAATACAGTAATTGTGAAATACTTTCGTTACTCTTAATTGACTTTATTATTTATAAAGAGTCATTGGTTTATTAACTTGATATACATAAAGACATTTTTTAGAATGGAAAACCTAAATTAGTGCATATTTGATATAATTAATTTTCTGTCAACTAAATCGCTTCCTAATAATCAATGTTCTGTATTCATTATAAATGTATGTTCAAATGACCCATGATTATTAATATCCAATCAAAATCAATGTTTCAATACACAATTTCAAACGTATATATGCTGTGTGCTTATGTTGCTGGCATTATTGACGACCAATTAATTTCTCTAGATTAACGTCTTTTCAATAACTTTTGATTATTTTATCATTTATTTCATGCTTTATCCAATAAGACGGTTTGCAAATTAAAATAACATAAAAAAGTAAATATATATGTTCAATAAGATTCATCCGTTTAGAAATTTGTTATATCAAAGTTTCTCTTCCCATACACAAATTCTTCGAATAAAATTCACCCAGTCATAGCTTGACAAACGGACCAGTCGGTCTTCAAAAGTTGCGACACGTTAATTACATACATTGTTTGTGTTGGAAGCCAAACTTCAATATAAAATTAAATATAGTTCCGAGCGTTTTAACCCATCGAAGGAGGTGCTTGAAGATTCGATCAAATCAGGTAATATTAAATTTCATAACTTTGGTTTTAAAACAAAATACCATATTAGTCGGCATAATACGTAATTTTTGATTCAAAAATGGATTTGTTTTGTAAGATAGGATAAGAGAATTTGTTAATATGTGTCACGGGATCGCACAATCGAAGCGTTTATTGTTGTTTGTTTGAGTTGATGTGTGCGTATGTATGTAACATACGACGTATGATTGTTGCGTTATAATGTTTTGAATACATGTTAAATACGGTGTTTTCATTTTGATATTGCGGTGATTTTAACTGATTTTCTTTTTAAATTAGCATTTTGTTTTATTGTATTATTTCGAAAAATATTAAATGATAATGAACATTGTTTGTGTTCAGATATACATTTTTCCTCGCCACCTAATTTCTCACTGCATATTTAATTCACAACAGTTAACAACATCGAATCATTAACAAACCAAAATAGAACTTTAAATCACACATTTACCGAAGCCGATATGACCACTTGACATTGCATCTGTCACAACATTATGCTTGACTCACGAAAAATCCGGATCAGAAACGCAATGCAAAAGACTATCAGAATGTATCCGGTAAGACGCAGATACGGGAAATGAAGTTATTTCTTGTGAAGTAAGGGATGAAAGACAACGTTAAGGAACTTGATTAAAACAATAATAATGTGAAATTTCATCAAGTTGAAAAAAAAGACAAACACGCAGTCATACGTTACACGGAATTTCAAACAAAACGTTATAATTCTCGACCATAACAGTTATGTCTGCATTGGAAGAAAAAAATGTTTAATTGCAGTTTTTAATGTTTAAAATAACGAACAGTGTTTTAGTTCGTTGTCGTTCTGTTGTATTTTACCCCTCTGTTTTATTTTTGTTTTATTTTCTATGACTGCGTTGCTTATATCTGCTGACCATTATTGTTTATGTCATGACGTTATAATTCTTCTCTCTACACTTAGTATATTCTGGTATGAAGATAATAAATAATGGCTACTTTCAATCATTTTACGTACTTAAGAGCAAATGTGAGAACCAAGATATAAATATATTGAAAAAACACACCATATTCCGATCAGCTCTTTTGTCCAACAATATTTTAACAATGTTGGTATGGCCTCCACGTGCTGCTTCGGACAATGCACCAGACTGGATAAAAATAGGCATCATATCATTTAAGAAAATGAGAGTTAACAAGGATTATGTTATCACTACAGGTCAAAAACATCTTTTAGGAAAATACAGTAATTGTGAAAATGTTTTTTTATTTGCCCTTAATTGACTTGATTTATTTATAAACAATCGTTGGTTTATTAACTTGATATACATAAACGGTTTTTTTTAGACTGCAATACATAAATTAATGCACATTGATTTAGTTAATTTTCTGTCAACTACATCACTTCTTTATAATCAATGTTCTGTATTCAATATAAATGTATGTTCAAATGACCCATGATTATTAATATCCAATCAAAAACTAAGTTTCAATACACTATTGCAAACGTATATATGCTGTGTGCCTATGATGCAGGCATTATAGACAACTAGTTGATTTGTCTTCATTGACGTCTTTCAACTAACTTTTCAACATTTTAACATTTATTACATGTTTTAAGCAATAAGACGGTTTGCATAATAAAATATACAAAGAAAATAAATATGTTCAATAAGATTCATCAGTTTAGAAATATGTGATATCAAAGTTTCACTTCAACCACAAACAATGTACGTTTAAAACTCATCCAGTCATAGCTTGACAAAGGGACCAGTCGTTCATGAAATGTGGCGACACGTTAACTACGTACATTGTTTGTTTCGGAAGCATATCTTCGATATCAAATTAAATATGTTTTCCTTGTGTTTTAACTCATCGAAGGAGGTGCTTGAAGATTTGATCAAATCTGCTGATATTACATTTCATAACTTTGATATTAAAACAAAATACCATATGCTATTTTGAATTAGTCGGCATAATGTGTAATTTTTGCCTCAAAAATGGATCTGTTTTGTAAATTAGTACAAGAGATTTTGTTAATATTTTTCACGGGATTGCAAAATCGAAGCGTGCATTGTTGTTTGTTTTAGTTGATGTATGCGTATGAATATAACATACAACGAATGATTGTTGCGTTATAATGTCTGGAATACATGTTGTATACAGTATTTTTATTGCGATATGGCGATGATTTTAACTGATTTTTTATTTAAATTATCATTTTGATTTATTTTTCAAGTTGGAATAAAATTGAATAATATTGAACATTGTTTGTGTTCAGATATACATTTTTCCTCCGACTCTTAATTTTTTCCTGCATATTTAATTCACAACGGTTAACAGCATTGAATTATTTACAAACCAATATATAACTTTAAATAACTCTTTTACCAAAGTCGATATGATCACTAGACATTGCCTCTGTTACAACATTTTACTTGACTCACGAAAATCCGGATCAGAAACAAAATGCAAAAGACTATCAGAATATGTCAAGTAAGACGCAGATGTGGGAAATGGAGGGATTTCTGCTGAAGTAAGGGATGAAAGACAACGTTAAGGAACTTAATTTTTAACAGCTAATGTGAAATGTCATCAAGTTGGAAAAAAAAGACAATTTCGCAGTCATACGTTACACGGAATTTCAAATAAAACGTTGTAATTATCCACCATACACAGTTATGTCTGCATTGAAACAAATCTGTTTAATTGTATTTTTTTATGTTTAAAATAACGAACAGTGTTTTAGTTCGTTGTCGTTCTGTTGTATTTTACCCCTCTGTTTTTTTTTTGTTTTTTTTTCTATTACTGGGTGACTTATATCTGCTGACTATTATTGTTTATGTCATGACTTTATATTTCTTCTCTCTACACTTAATATATTCTGGTATAAAGATTACAAATAATGGCTACTTTCAATCATTTTACGTACTAAAGAGCAAATGTGGAAACCCAGATATCAATATATTGAAAAACAAACCTCATTCCGATCAGCTCCTTTGTCCAACAATATTTTGACAATGTCGATATAGCCCCCATGTGCTGCATTGGAAAATGCATCAGACTGGATAAAAATAAACATCATATCAGTAAATAAAATGGGAGTTATCAAGAATCATGTTATCAGTACAGGTCAAAAACATCTTTTAGGAAAATGCTGTAATTGTGAAAATGTTTTCGCTGCTCTTAATTGACTTGATTTATTGATAAAGAATCATTGGTTTATAAGTTTGATATACATTAACGACATTTTTTAGACTGGAAAACATGAATTAGTTCATATTTGATATAGTTAATTTTCTGTCAACTACATCGCTTCCTAATATTCAATGTTCAGTATTCATTATAAATGTATGTTCAAATGACCCGTGATTATTAATATCTAATCAAAACCAAAGTTTCAATACACGATTTCAAACGTATATATGCTGTGTGCTTATGATGCAGGCATTATTGACAACTAATTAATTTGTCTTGATTGACCTCTTTCAAATAACTTTTCAACATTTTCTCTTTTATTTCATGTTTTATGTAATCAGACGGTTTGCAAAAGAAAATAATATAAAAAAAAATAAAAAAAAAACATGTTCAATAAGACTCATCCGTTTAGAAATATGTTATATCAAAGTTTCACTTCCTACACAAACGATGTACGAATAAAACTCACCCAGTCATAGCTTGCCAAAGGAACCAGTAGGTCTTGAAACGTTTCGACACGTTAAATACGTACATTGGTTGTGTGGGGAGCAAAACTTCGATATGAAATAAAATATGTTTTCCGTGTCTTTTTGCGAATCGAAGAGGATGCTTGAAGATTTGATCAAATCATGTTATATTAGATTTCATAATTTCGATATTAAAACAAAATACCATATGCTATTTTGAATTAGTTTGCATAATGCGTAATTTTGCTTCAAAAATGTATTTGTTTTGTTAGATAGGATAAGAGATTTTGTTAATATGTGTCAAGGGAGTGCACAATTAAAGAGTGTACTGTTGTTAAGTTGATGTCTGCGTGTGAATATAACATACAACGTATGATTGTTGCGTTATAATGTTTGAAATACGTGTAATATACGGTGTTTTCATTTCGATATGGCGGTGATTTTAACTGGGTTTTTTTTTAATTATCATTTTGTTTTATTGTACATGTTCGAATAGAATTGAACAATAATGAACGTTGTTTGTGTTCAGATATGCATTGTTCCTCCGACTCTTAATTTTTTCCTGCATATTTAATTTACAACGGTTAACAGCATTGAATTATTTACAAACCAATATATAACTTTAAATAACTCTTTTACCAAAGTCGATATGATCACTAGACATTGCCTCTGTCACAACATTTTACTTGACTCACGAAAATGCGGATCAGAAACGAAACGCAAAAGACTATCAGAATATGTTTGGAAAGACGCATAGATGGGAAATGGAGGGATTTCTGCTGCAATAAAGGATGAAAGACAACGTTAAGGAAATTAATTAATAACAGCTAATGTGAATTTTCATCAAGTTGAAAAAAAAGACAAACACGCAGTCATACGTTACACGGAATTTCAAACAAAACGTTGCAATTCTCGACCATAACAGTTATGTCTGCATTGGAACGAAATTGTTTAATTGCAGTTTTTAATGTTTAAAATAACGAACGGTGTTTCAGTTCGTTGTCGTTCTGTTGTATTTTACCCCTCTGTTTTATTTTTGTTTTATTTTATATTACTGCGTTGTTTATATCCGTTGACCATTATTATATAACTGTTAATTTTCCCACACGCTGATTAGTCAAAACACCTCTTATCGGTCTAAATATGTTGCGATGTTACCCCGAAACCTACAGAATCCGTGCATGTGAGGTGAATATAACAGTCCAAAACACCGTCGGGCGCCTCAAAGGTGAATATTACAATCCAGTAACCTGTGCTGGAATTTTTGACCAATCAGCAGCACGGATTGTCGTTGCCTCACTGGAGAGAAAATGGCTGACGACAGTGTAAACAAACCCGGCTTGTCAAGATTTGGAACTGTTTCCGATGACCAACTTAAAACTATCTTGGTGCGAAAGGATACTAGAAACACTGTTCAAGCTACCGACACGTACGTTTGTGTATTGCTTGAATATTTGAAAGAAAAAGCAATAGTCGCGGACTTTCTTGACATGCAGGCGCTGGAACTCTGCAATGCTCTTCGGCAGTTTTATGTGGAAATGATTAGGAAATACGGTGAGAAATATCAACGTAGTTCTCTTTTTAGTATCCGGCATAGTATCAGCCGATACCTTTCGAGTGTCGGTTGTAACATGGATATAGTGCATGGCGCTGAATTTATTGAATGCAACAAGTTGTTTAATGCTGCAACGAAACAACTCGAGCGTTACCATTACACGTTACTGTATTTTACCCTTGAAAATTTACTTTCAAATTTTGTTAAATTAAATAAATACTAAGCTTGTTTGATTGAGTTTTCTCCCATTTACTCACATTACGCAGTATGGTGTTTTTGATCTTATTAACAGCTAATTTAAGGTCATTTTAATTGCACAGAGACACATTTATGTGTAGGCAGAATTTCATTGCAGGTGCCATAATCATAGCGAAACATGCTAAGTATGGGTTGGTGCTACACATGGTTAAAAGTATAAAGTGTATTATAATAAAACAGTTATTGAACTATTTTCAGGTAAATACGAGGATTTGAAAATAGGTCAATAATTATTTATTATTGTTTATGTCATGACGTTATATTTCTTCGTTCTACACTTGTCATATTCTGGTATAAAGAATGCAAATAGTGACTACTTTCAATCATTTTACGTACTTAAGAGCAAATGTGGGAACCCATATATCAATATATTGAAAACAAACCATATTCCGATCAGCTCCTTTGTCCAACAATATTTTGACGATGTCGGTATGGCCACCGCGTGCTGCATCGGACAAAGCACAAGACTGGATAAAAATAAACATCATATCAATAAATAAAATGAGAGTTAACAAGGATCATGTCATCACTACAGGTCAAAAACATCTTTTAGGAAAATACAGTAATTGTGAAAATGTTTTCGTTGCTCGTAATTGACTTGCTTTATTTATAAACAATCATTGGTTTATTAACTTCATATTCATAAACGATATGTTTTAGACCGGAAGACATGAATAAATTCATATTTGATATAATTAATTTTCTGTCAACTACATCGCTTCCTAAAAATCAAAGTTCAGTATTCATTATAAATGTATGTTCAAATGACCTGTGATTATTAATATCTAATCAAAATCAAAGTTTTAATACACGATTTCAAACGTATATATGCTGTGTGCTTATGATGCAGGCATTATTGACAACTCTTTCAAATAACTTTTTATCATTTATTTCATGTTTTATGCAATAAAACGGTTTACAAAATAAAATAATACATGTTTTTTTTAGATATGTTCAATAAGACTCATCAGTTTAGAAATATGTGATATCAAAGTTTCACTTCCAACACAAACAATGTACGAATAAAACTTACCCAGTCATAGCTTGACATAGGGACCAGTCTGTCTTGAAACATGGCTACACGTTAAATACGTACATTGTTTGTGTTGGAAGCAAAACTTCGATATCAAATTAAATATATTTTTCCGTGTATTTTCATCGCATCGAAGGACGCGCTTGAAGATTTGATGAAATCGGCTAATATTAGATATCATAACTTTGATATTAAAATAAAAAAAAAACTATGCTATTTTGAATTCGTTGGCATAATGCTTAATTTTGCTTTAAAAATGGGTGGGTTTTGTAAGACAGGATAAGATATTTTGTTAATATGTAACACGGGAATGCAAAATCAAAGCGTGTATTGTTGTTTAAGTTAGTAGATGTGTGCGTATGAATATAACATACAGACTCGTACACGTTCGCTGGTCCATTTTCAGCGTACCGTTTGCGTTGCATTTACGTACCGTTTGCGTATCACTTGCGTAGCATTTACGTAGTACTTCCGTACCATTACCGTAGCATTTACGTAGCACTTCCATATCGTTTCCGTAGCACTTGCGTCTACATCTTTCTATTTAAAAAGCGTTTGTGAAACGTTCGATTGAAAATTGTACGGAATATATATTTGTGGAAACGAATTGTAGATAAAAAAATCATTTTAAACCGCAATACGAGAAAATTAATCCAACTATCATAATAGTCTGAAGAAAACAAACACAAAAATGTCGGTTTACACAAACATGTACTTAACAGCCCTCCTCTCATGGGCAGATAAGGGGTAATTTAGATAATAGGCATACAGCTGGCCATGTGGTAATGACCTGTCCGTTGTTAAAGGCATAAACAACTTTGGTGGACGTTATACAGGTTGTTAGGGCAACATGACCACCCGCTGACAGATACTTTTCTTTCAATGTGATATCTATACCTGAGAATGTAGGTAATACATTGACCATTCACCTGTGGTCACATTGGATTACGATGTGTTGTACCTGATCAAGGTCACATTCTATGATTGCAAGGCAGTTAAGTCCATGTCAACTACTTCATTGTCTATCCACCACGTACAGATGTATACAGGTTAAACAGTTCAAGGTAAAAACCTACAGGTAAAATACTTTGGCTGTCCCTCGGTCAGGAAATGACAGCCCCAGTTACAATTTCTTTTCGCACAGTGCCTTTAACAAAGTAAACTAATATTTTACCAAATATAAGAAAATAATTTCTAAATACAGGCTTTCATCAAATAGTCTAAACATTGAATCTGGAAGATTTATTAAATTGGCGAGACACCTAAGAATTTGTGCCAAATGGTATTGTGGATATGTAAAAGACGAGTATCATTTTATTCTAGTTTGTAATTTGTATTCTGATATTATATCAAAATATATTAAGCCATATTTCTGGCGTAGCCCTTCTGTCTGTAAGCTTGAACGGCATCTGTCTTTAAGGAATGTAAAACAACTGTAAATCTTGGTAAATTTTGCTGTATTGCCACGGCCAGGGGGTGACAGCTAATAGTAATATAATTGTGTTATCTTGTATAGTACATTCATTTATTGTACCATGTATGACAAGGAGTGAATCTGTTTTAACATTGTTTAGCCTTATCTTGTGTATGATTACTTTAACTATGTTAAACATATGTATGTTATGACTCCTATAAGCTGTACTGCTTTTGGAATAAACTGAATTGAATTGAACTTTGAATTCCTAACTTAATGCAAAAAAAATGATATCCCTTATTCGGATGTTTATCTATCATGAGTTATGTTATCAGCGAGCGAGTTTGAATACCAACAACCCTAATACATAACAAATTTTTCAATATCAGATTATTGAAAATGACGATATTTTTCAGTTATCATTAACAAAATCATTATGAAGATAACTTTATTGTCATCATTGTCATCATGTGTAATCTTAGAAATCTGTTTCGTATCACTGAGGGTTAAAACTGAGTGCCTGAGAAAATAGAGTGTGCTTCCTTGTTGTTTATAGCAGAGACGTTTATATACAATACGTCTCTCTCTATAATAAGTTTGTTAACAGATTTCAGAATTTTATCTCTCTCAGACATACAAAGTATGTAACAAGAGGTCAATATGTATCATATGCATATATACATGGTGGATAACAAAGGCTACCATGATAAACTAACATTTCAAAAACTTTAACATTGCATACAGTAAATAGTCCACGCATTTGAATAATGCTAGGGTAAGTATAGTACAGTTATGGGATCGCACAACGTTACACGATGTGCGGTGTGCGCACGATGTGTGCACGGTGTGTGAATGATGTGTGCACGAAGTACGAACGATAAAAAAAATGGACGATGATTACTTGCGCACATTTGTGCGGACGATCGACGAACGTTGTGCGATAACAATCGTGGTTGATGTAAATTGAGGAATGACTTAACAATATATACGGTTTGGTGTTTTAACTTTTAAACTTGATTTGTTAGCATGTTTTTATATTCTAGCTAGCTTATCTTTCTGTCTATACTTTTTTGAATTTAGAAATGGTATTTTCGGTGTTTTTTAAACGACCTTAATCGACACATATAAAATTACAACACAGTCTCTGCAACACAGGTAAACATAGCCAGTTTTTACCTGGACCGTAGTTTTCCCCCGTCCGGGGCACTTACGTAACTCGCCAAGGTGTGAAAACCAGGTGAAGGGGAGCTATAGATCAAAACGAATACAAATAACAAATGCTAAACGTCCAGTTATGTTTTCATAACGGTCATACGGTATCACATAGCAGCTCTATCTGTAAGGCACAGACCAGGTAAAACTCCGGTCACTCATCAAATTGTTATTTACCTGTTGCATTTGAGCCGAACCCATTCTTAACAGCCTAACGGTCACTGTATACTGTCTTACTATATACATATACCCGGATCGTAAAATTGTACCTAATCTTAATTATTGTGATGAAAAAATACAGTAATACATACAGTGTACATTATTGCATACGAGCCTTCCGTATTATTTTCATTCCGTAATATTGATCATCAAGTTGTACCAAATCGCACAGTTGTGCGAGAAAAGCGCACAACGGGGCGAACGATTGTTAAATCGCCCAGTTGTCCGCACCATTTGTGGACGATGTGCGGACGGTGTGTAAACGATGTATGCACAGTGTGCACATGGGGTTTTTGGTGCGTTGTGCGGTCACACAACTGTAGTAATTTGGAATAAATAGTTGTCGTATGTGTTTAACAGATATGTGTTCCCACTTAAATAGATAATGATATTCATCACCAATTTCATTATAACATGGATTACATGTTCTGTTTAATTTGGATTAACGGAGTGCCCTTCTGTGTGTGGTATTTATAAAGGTGTCAACAATCAGTCAAGCGGTCCCGGACTAGTGTACCTATGAACTTACATGGTTCAACGAAAAAGATTATTGACCTTTTTCAGCTGACCAATAAGTACCCCTTAGCGCCCTTAGCAAGTTACACAGTGGACAGTATATATCAGAGACTGCGATTAACTTGGCATAGGGTATATTTGGAAATATCATATATTAACGACAACAAGATTTATTAATTAATTAAAGAAAGGTGTACTGATTGCGTAAACCCATAAAAAAAAGAATATCTGAAAGAAAAAAGAAAAAAAACTCCTCATCACTTAAGATTCGAAAATGGGCGATATCAAAACATTGAATCTTCGAGTGTGTAATGTTTGTAACTTAGATGATGTTGAAGATTGTTTTGAAAACGTCTTTTATTAAAAAGCCAAGCATTTTTAGATTGAAAGGACTACTGAGTGTGAAAATTACAAAAGAAATAACGAACTTAGGGAAATATATAAAATTTGCAAATTCGAGAAGAACCTAATTATTATAAATAGATATAGCTGCATTTGTAAGTGAGTTGTGAGTGTGTGTATTTTTTTTATTTTGCATAGTAAATATCACAAATTTTGTTACTTTGTAGCAGAAATAATGAACTTGAACTTGAACATGGCGATGAGGTTACGTACATGTATGACGAATATGAAATATTGTAGCACTAACACTTACATGTATTGAGCACAGATAAACAAAATGTTATGAAGTTTTGCCACTTGTCTATTGTTTATAAAAATGTTTGACAACGGTCAGAGACGTATACTTTAAAGCGAAACATTTTTACTTGTTTTTGTGTGCGGCACCATTCTCCATCACAAGTTTCATGAAAAAATGTATTACCCCCCATAGTAGCCCCCATCCTCCTTGATCCACGCCTGTTTAGGTAAAAACGTACATGTATAAACTGAGAAATAGATATATTGAAGTTTTATTGTGGTCTCAATCCCTTTCTGAAATCAAACCCCTATACCCTCTGCAGTACACACCCCTCAGAGTGCGCCATACAGTCATAGTTTCTCAAGTACCATGATCAAGACAGGTAATATTTACCTGTAGAAAAGTCAATATAGATAGCTACATTTTTATGATTGATAAAGAAAACCTATAGTCTTATTAATACCAGACGTGAAAATCATAAATGAAAAAATTACATCGCGCACTCAGTCATATATAATAACTCATGTAACAATATACATGTACAATGTAAACTTAAACAAGAATCAACTACATTTTCATAATAAAAATAAAGATGTACAACAACAAATCTGTTTATCTGTGAATGAAATTTAATGAATAGACATGGTATACCATGTATACATTTCAAATCTCCGATGCATGTATTTGCATGAATTAATAATTAAGAACGTTATCGATCTCTAAATCCTACAAAAAATCTTTAAGTGTATGGTAGTATTAAAAACGATATAAAAATAGAAATAGAGGTTCTGGATCTTTAACACATTAGTCTGAAATGATTTATTTTTTTTATTATTAGGCTAATTAATTATTGCATTTCTCGTTCAAAAAATGTAACCTAATTCTTACTGTCAATAGGTATTAGTCTTTTATTCGGTAAGCAGCTGGAAATACTTCTGAACCTAACTTTTTGTGTGTCGCGTTGATCTGTTATCGTACGTCAGGTCTTTGTGATGGATATATTACACGTACCAATATTTGATCGACCTTTATCTTTATAATTCAAGAGACATTTCTGTTTGTTTCACACTCATCCATTATGCAAACGAAATTGCAAAATTTAAAACATTCGTATGTGCCTCCTCGTAGCCTACAGTTTACTAACGTTTCTTACTATGCATTGTGGGTATTTTCGTTTCGTTTTAGATATTTTATATGCTTCAGCTTTTTATGTCAACCCGTATTTGTCACCACAAACGAATCACCGTTGTAAGTGTCATCCGTAGCACTTCCGTACCGTTTGCGTAACACTTTCATACTGTTTGCGTAGCACGTGCCGAGCACTTCCGTACCATTTGCGTCCGAGGTGGAACAGCAAACGTGTACGGGTATGTACAACGTATGATTGTTGCGTTATAAAGTTTGGAAAACATGTTATATACGGTGTTTTCATTTCTATACGGCGGTGATTTTAAATGATTTTTAAAACGAATATTTTGTATTATTGTTAAACGTAAAAAAAAAAAAATTAGACTAAACATTAATTGTGTCCAGATATCAATGTTTTCGTCGCCTCTAAACTTCGTCATGGACATTTAGGTCACAACGGTAATAACATTGAATTACTTGCAAACCAATGTATAACTTGAAATCATTCATTTACCAAGCCGACATGACCACTAGACTCTGCTGCTGTCAAATTATTATACTTGACTCACAAAAATCCAGATCAGAAACAACATGCAAAAGTCTATCAGAGTCCGTCCGGTAAATCGAAGAGAAAGAAAAAGGAGTGTTTTTTTAGTGTAGCAAGGGATGAAAGATAACGTTAAGGACAAAATCAGCTTATGTGACGTTTGATCACGTTTTGGAAAAAATATTTATATTCGCAGTTATGCGTTACACGGAAATAAGTTTGTATTTCTCGACCAAAACAGGTAATATCTGCATTGGAACAAAATTGTACGATTGTAGTTTTAAAATGTTTAAACTAACAAACGGTTTTCCAGTTTGCTGTCGTTCTGTAGTGTTTTATCCCTCTGTTTTATCTTTGTTTTGTTTCTATGACTGCGCTTCTTATATCTGCTGACCATTATTGTTTATGTCATGACGTTATAATTCTTCTCTCTACACCTGTCATATTCTGGTATAAAGATTACAAATAATGACTACTTTCAATCATTTTACGTACTTAAGAGCAAATGTGGGAACCCAGATATCAATATATTGAAAAACCCACCTGATTCGGATCAGCTCTTTTATCCAACAATATCTTAACGATGTCGACATAGCCTTCACGTGCTGCTCTGGACAATGCAAGAGACTGGATAAAAAAAAAAAGTATCATGTCAGTAAATTAAAGGGGGTTAACAAGGTTATCACTACAGGTCAAAAACATCTTTAAGGAAAATACAGTAATTGTGAAAATGTTTTCGTTGTTCTTAATTGACTTCATTTGTTTTTAAACAATCTTTGGTTTATTAACTTGATATACATAAACGACATTGTTTAGACTGGAAAACATAGATTAATGCATATTTGATATAGTCGATTGTCTGATACTACATCGCTTTGTAATAATCAATGTTCTATATTCATTATAAGTGTATGTTCAAATGACCTGTGATTATAAATTATTTTATCATGGATTTCATGCATTATGCAATAACACGCTTTGCAAAATAAGATAATAATGGATAGAAAATAAATATGTTCAATAAGATTCATCACATTAGGAATATGTGATATCAAAGTTTTACATCCTACACAAACATATACATATAAAATTAGCCCAGTCATAGCTTGACCAGTCGGTCTTGGAACGTTGCGACACGTTTAATACGTACATTGTTTGTGTGGGAAGCAGAACTTCGATATCAAATTAAATGATTTTCCGTGTGTTTTAATAATAATAATGATAATATACAGCCTTTATATAGCGCCCTATATAATTTGTAAAATTACTCTAAGGCGCTTTACAACATATGGATAATAATAATAGTTATATTTGTGAAAACAAACAACGAAGGCTTGCAATCACTTTCATGCATTTAACAAGCAATTTGAACATAATTAAACAAATAAAATGATGGTATTTACATGACGTTTTTGCAAAAGTTCCAAAATGCAGACGTGAAGAGGCGAGTTTTTATGTCCCTCTTGAATTTGGCCAGGGTATTCGACTTCCTAATATCAGATGGCAAGCTCATCCACAACGTAGCTGAAACCCTCCCAAAGCATCGGTTTCCTTAGGTCACAGTACAAGATTTTGGGACACACAACAAAGATTATGACTCCGACCGCAGTGATCTTGACGGCTGATACAGGGTAACAAGTTCATGTAGGTACTGAGGAGCTGTTCCATTCAGTGCCTTGAATGTGTATACCAGAATTTTGTACTGCGACCTGTATCGTACAGGTAACCAGTGCAACGAATAAAGCGCAGGTGTGATATGCTCTCTCTTTCGAGTACGAGTAACTAGCCGTGCTGCAGTGTTTTGGACCCTCTGCAGACGACCAGTTAGTTTGTCAGATATACCACAGCGCAGGGCGTTACCATAATCCAACCGAGAGGTACACTGTGAATTCACCAAAATCTTGCATGCATCTGCATTTAGAAACTGCCGAATACAGCCGATGTTCCTGATCTGGTAGTAACAGGATTTGGCAATAGCGTTCACTTGTTTCTCCATGTTCAGAGAACTGTCAAAGTATACCCCTAGGTTTTTAACAGCTGGAACAGCATCAATAGTTCTGTCACCAACCTTGAGCTGGAGAGCCATTGTTTGCTGACACTTTGGGGAAAAGACGATTAGTTCCGTCTTTTCCTGATTAAGTTTAAGCATGTTGGCGTTCATTTAGATACTGATATCTGTCAGACAAGCCTCCAGACTTTCTGAGACTGTATTTCAACTGTCCTGTGGTTTTATGACCATGTAAATTTGTGTGTAATCAGCACAGCAATGATAGCGAAGGCTATGGCGACGACAAGTCTTTCCAATCGGTTTGGAGTACAAACAATATTTTCGTGGTCCTAACACCGACCCGTGAGGAACCCCGAAATCTAGTACTTTTGGTATGTGAGGTGGCAGATCCGATGGCAACACACTGTCGTCGTTCACTCAGGTATGACTGTATCCAGCATAGTGCGGTATCAGTCACTCCATAAGAGTATTCCAGACGTTTATATAGTATGCCATGGTCGATGACGTCAAATGCAGCTGACAAGTCCAGCATGACAAGCACCGCTCTGCACTTGCTATCCAATGCAGAAGCTATATCACTTTGTACACGTAGAAGGGCCGTCTCAGTAGAGTGTCCCATGCGGTAGGCCGATTGCATGTTGTCATGGAGACTGTTTGCATGGAGATGAACCTCTAAACGCCGGGACACAACCTTCTCCAAGATCTTAGACAGAAAAGGCAGATTTGAAACTGGGCGGTAGTTTTTCAACTCCTCCTTGTCCATTCCAGGCTTTTTTAACCATGGTCCGATATGTGCCTCTTTGAAACATAATGGAACCTTTGACTCAACCAATGTTTATTCATGATTGCGGTAATCAAAGGAAGCAGTGCTTCAAGACATTGCTTTAATAGGTCTGTAGGCAGTGGATAAAGCTCTCAGGACTTCGATTGCGAGGTCATGATAATGTTGCGCAATTCGTCCTGGGTTGTTGGTGAGAGCTTTGTCAATGGTTTCCCATCAAAGGCAATGTCAGCAGTCATGACAGAGATGTCAATGTCAGCAGAGGTGTTCACTTCGGTAATATTTTTCCTGATTGAGCTGATTTTATTCAGAAAGTAATCACTGAACTCGCTTGCTAGGTCTTTTTCAGAATTACAGCTTGGTAGGATAATTTCACCATTTTGTCCCATTAGGTTTTTGGTGAGTCTAAAAGGTTGTCTTTGATCCTTGCCACATCCTTCGATTTTTTCCAAATAATAAGCCTTCTTTAACTGAAAGAGCAGTAAACCAACTAGCCGACATCGCTCTCTATAAATCAGTTTGTGAACGTAAATCTGGTTTGTCGCCACTGTCTCTCTGCTTGTCTACGTTTCTGTTTTTCCACGCGGAGATTTTTATTATACCACGTGGCATTTGGTCTCACAGTCATCACCTTAGTTTGCAGAGGTGCGTGTTTCTGTATAAGGGCTTCTATACCAAATGTGTATGCTTCAACAAGATCATCAACCTTGCCATCAGTAGATTGAAGGGCGGAACAAGACTGAATGTCATTGTTGAAATCTGGTATTGAAATTTCGTGGAATTTCCGGAAGCTCACTTTATTTTAACACATCGAATGAGGCCCTTGAAGATTTGATCAAATCAGCTGATATCAAATTTCATAACTTTGATATTAAAACAAAGTACCATATGCTATTTTGAATTAGTAGGCAGAATGCGTTATTTTTGTTTTAAAAATGGATGTGCTTTGTATGATAGGATAAGATATTTTGTGAATATGTCAAACGGGAATGTGAGATCAAAATGTGTATTATTGTTTGTTTTATTTGATGTCTGCGTATGAATATAACATACAACGTATAATTGTAACGTTATAATGTTTGGAATACATGTTATATACGGTGTTTTCATTTCTATATAACCCTGATTTTAAATGATTATTAAAACTTATATTTTGTATTTTTGTTTAACGTAGAAAAACATTTAATCAGAATAAACATTAATTGTGTCCAGATATAAATGTTTCAAACGACTCTAAACTAAACATTGAATTATTTACAAACCCATTTAAAACTTGAATTCATACATTTATCAGAGCCGATAGGACCACTAAACTCTAATGCTGTCAAAGTATTATACTTGACTCACGAAAATCAATATCAGAAACAAAATGTAAAAGACTATCAGAGTCCGTCCGGTAAATCGAAGAGAAAGAAAAAGGAGTTTTTTTTAGTGTAGCAAGGGATGAAGAAAACGTTAAGGGACTTGATCAAAATCAGCTAATGTGAAGTTTTATCACGTTTGAAAAAAAACCATATCCGCAGTTATGCGTTACACGGTATTGCAAACAAAAGTTTGTAATTCTCGATCATAACAGTTAATATCGGCATTGGAATAATTGTTTAATTGTTGTTTTTTTTTTGTTTAAAATAACGAACGGTGTTTCAGTTCCTTGTCTTTTTTATGTTTTTTAACCCTCTGTTTTATTTTTTTTGTTTTATTATCTATTACAGCGTTGCTTATATCTGCTGACCATTATTGTTTATGTCATGACATTATATTTCCTCTCTTTACACTTGTCATATTCTGGTATAAAGATTACAAATAATGACTACTTTCAATCATTTTACGTACTTAAGAGCAAATGTGGGAACCCAGATATCAATATATTGAAAACACACCTTATTCGGATCAGCTCCTTTGTCCAACAGTAACTTAACGATGTCGGTATGGCCTCTACATGCTGCATCGGACAATGCACTAGACTGGATAAAAATATACATATCAGTAAATAAAATGAGAGTTAACAAGGATTATGTTATCACTACAGGTCAAAAACATCTTTTAGGAAAATACAGTAATTGTGAAAATGTTTTCGTTGTTCTTAATCGACTTGAGTTATCTATTGAAAATCATTGGTTTATTAACTTGATATACATAAACGACATTTTTTTGACTGGAAAACATAGATTAATGCATATTTGATATAGTCAATTTTCTGTCAACCACATCGCTTCGTAATAATCAATGTTCTGTATTCATTATAAATGTATGTTCAAATGACCTGTTATTATCAAAATTCAATCAAAAACAAAGTTTCAATACACGATTTAAAACGTATATATGCTGTGTGCTTATGATGCAGGCATTATTGACAACTAATTTATTTGTCTTGATTGACGTGTTTCAAATAACCTTTTGAACAATTTATCATTTATTTCATGCTTTATGCAATAAGACGGTTTGCAAAATGAAATATATCAAAAAAAGGAAAATAAGTATGTTCAATAAGATTCATCACATAAGAAATATGTGATATTAAAGGTTTACTTTCTACACAAACAATGTTCATATAAAACTCACCTAGTCATAGCTTGACAAAGGGACCAGTCGGTCTTGAAACGTTGCGACACGTATCACTTACGAACATTGGTTTTGTTGGAAGCAAAACTTCGACAACAAATAAAATATGTTTTCCGTGTGTTTTAATGCATCGAAGGAGGTTCTTGAAGACTTGATAAAATCGGCTGATATTAAATTTCATAACTTTGATATTAAAACAAAATACCATATGCTATTTTTAATTAGCCGGCATAATGCGTCATTTTTGCCTTAAAATGAATTTGTTTTGCAAAATAGGATACGACATTTTTTTAATATGTCACTCGGAATTGCAAAAATAAAAGCGTGTTGTGTTGTTTGTTTTAGTTGATGTATGTTTATGAATATAACATACAACGTATGATTTTTGCGTTATAATGTTTGGAATGAATGTTATATACGCTGTATTCAATTTCGATATGGCCGTGATTTTAAATGATTTTTAAAACTTATATTTTATATATTTGTTTAGCGTAAACAAAATAAGAATAAACATTAATTGTGTCAAGATATAAATAGTTTTTCAGACTTTAATCTTCTTCATGGACATTAAGTTCACAAAAGTAAAGAACACTGAACTATTTACAAACCCATACATAACTTGAAATCATACATTAACTAAAGCCGATATGACCACTAGACTCTGCTGCTGTCAAAGTATTATACTTGACTCACGAAAAATCCAGATCAGAAACAACATGCAAAAGACTATCAGAGTCCGTCCGGTAAATCGAAGAGAAAGAAAAAGGAGTTTTTCTAGAGTTCGAAGGAATGAAAGATAACATTAAGGGACTGGATTAAAATCAGCTAATGTGAAGTGTGAACACGTTTGAAAAAATATTGATATCCGCAGTTTGTAATTCTCGATCATAAAAGTTAGTATCCTCAATTGAACAGAATTGTTTAATTGTAGTTATTTAATGTTTAAGATAACGAACAGTGCTTTAGTTCGTTTTCGTTCTGTTGTATTTCACCAATCTGTTTTATTTTTGTTTTGTTTCCTATAACTGCGTTGCTTTTATCTAGTGACCATTACTGTATGTCATGACGTTATAATTCTTCTCTCTACACCTGTCATATTCTGGTATAAAGATAACAAATAATGACTACTTTCAATCATTTTAAGTTCTTAAGAGCAAATGTGGGAACCCAGATATCAATATATTGAAAACACACCTTATTCGGATCAGCTCCTTTGTCCAACAATAACTTAACGATGTTGGTATGGCCTCTACATGCTGCATCGGATAATACACCAGACTGGATAAAAATTAACATCTTATGTGTAAATAAAATGAAAATTAACAAGGATTATGTTATCACTACAGGTCAAAAACATCTTTTAGGAAAATAAAGTAATTGTGACATGTTTTCGTTGTTCTTAAGCGACCTGATTTATGTATTAACAATCATTGGTTTATTTACTTGATATAAAAAAAACCGACATTTTATAGACAGAAAACCATAGAATAATGCATATTTGATATAGTCCATACTGTGTCAACTACATCGCTTTGTAATAATCAATGATCTGTATTCATTAGAAATGTATGTTCAAATGACCTGTGATTATTTATATCCAATCAAAAACAAAGTTTCAATACACGATTTCAAACGTACATATGCTGTGTGCCTATGATGCAGGCATTATAGACAACTAAATAATTTGTCTTGATTGACGTCTTTCAAATAACTTTTCAACATTTTATGATTAATTTCATGCTTTATGCAGTAGGACGATTTTCAAAATATTTTATCAAAACAAAAAAGAAAACAAATATGTTCTATAAGATTCATCACACTAGAAATATGTAATATCAAAGTTTTACTTCCTACACAAACAATAAACATACAAAATTCAACCAGTCATAGCTTGACAAAGGGACCAGTCGGTCTTGAAACGTTGCGACACGATAAATACGTACATTGGTTGTGTGGGGAGCAAAAATTCGATAACAAATTAAATATGTTTGTCCGTGTATTTTAACGAATCGACGGAGGTGCTTAGAGATTTTATCAAATCAGCTGATATTAAATTTCATAACTTTGATATTAAAACAAAATACCATATGCTATTTTGAATTAGTAGGCATAATGCGTAATTTTTGCTTTAAAAATGGATTTGCTTTGTATGATAGGATAAGATATTTTGTTAATATGTCAAACGGGAATGTGAGATCAAAATGTGTATTATTGTTTGTTTTATTTGATGTCTGCGTATGAATATAACATACAACGTATAATTGTAACGTTATAATGTTTGGAATACATGTTATATACGGTGTTTTCATTTCTATATGACCGTGATTTTGATTGATTATTAAAACTTATATTTTGTATTTTTGTTTAACGTAGACAAATATTCAATCAGAATAAACATTAATTGTGTCCAGATATAAATGTTTCCAACGACTCTAAACTTATTCATGGAAATTTAGTTCACTACGGTAAAGAACATTGAATTATTTACAAACCCATTTCTAACTTGAATTCATACATTTACCAAAGCCGATACGACCACTAGACTCTAATGCTGTCAAAGTATTATACTTGACTCACAAAAATCCAGATCAGAAACAAAATGCAAAAGACAATCAGAGTCAGTCTGGTAAATCGAAGAGAAAGACAAAGGAGTGTTTTTTCTCCTAGTGTAGCAAAGGATGAAAGATAACGTTAAAGGACTTGTTCAAAATCAACTAATGTGAAGTTTGATGACGTTTGAAAAGAAAGAAATCCGCAGTTATCCGTTACTCAGAATTTCAGAAAAAAAGTTTGTAATTCTCGATCATAACAGTTGATATCTGCATTGGTACAAAATTGATTAATTGTAGTTTTTTAATGTTTAAAATAACGAACGGTGTTTCAGTTCGTTGTCGTTCTTTTGTTTTTTTCTGTTTTATTTTTTATTACTGCGTTGCTTATATCTGTTGACCATTATTTTTTATGTCACAGAGATATATTTCTTCTCTCTACACTTGTCATATTCTGGTATAAAGATAACAAATAATGACTACTTTCAATCATTCTAACGTACTTAAGATCAAATGTGAGAACCCAGATATCAATATATTGAAAACACACCTTATTCGGATCAGCACCTTTGTCCAACAATAACTTAACGATGTCGGTATCGCCTCTATATGCTGCATCGGACAATGGACCAGACTGGATAAAAAATAACATCATATGAATAAAAAAAAAATGAGAGTTAACAAGAATTATGTTAGCACTACAGGTCAAAAACATCTTTTAGGAAAATAAAGTTATTGTGAAAATATTTTCGTTGTTCTTAATTGATTTAATCTATTTATTAAAAATCACTGGTTTATTAACTTGATATACATAAACGACATTCTTTAGACAGGAAAACATAGATTAATGCATATTTGATATAGTCAATTTTCTGTCAACTACATCGCTTCGTTATGATCAATGTTCTGTTTTCATTATAAATGTATGTTCAAATGACCTGTTATTATCAATAGCCAATCAAAATGATATTTTAAAATACGATTTTAAACGTATATATGCTGTGTGCTTATGATGCAGGCATTATTGACAATTAATTGATTTGTCTTGATTGACGTGTTTCAAATAACGTTTCAACATTTCATAATTTATTTCATGCTTTATGCAATAAGACGATTTGCAAAATAAAATATTACAAAAAAAGGAAAATAAATATGTTCAATAAGATTCATCACATTAGAAACATGCGATATCAAAATTTTACTTTCTACCCAAACAATGTTCATATAAAATTCACCCAGTCATAGCTTGACAAAGGGACAAATCGGTCTTGAAACGTTGCGACACGTATCACTTACTTACATTGGTTGATGCGGAAGCAAATCTTCGACATCAAATTAAATATGTTTTCCGTGTGTTTTAACGCATCGAAGGAGGTTCTTGAAGATTTGATCAAATCAGCTGATATTAAATTTCATAACTTTGATATTAAAACAAAATACCATATGCTATTTTTAATTAGTCGGCATGATGCGTTATTTTTGCTTTAAAATGGATTTGTTTTGTAAGATAGGATAAGACATCTGTTTAATATGTCAATCGGAATTGCAAAATAAAAGCGTGTATTATTGTTTGTTTTAGTTGATGAATGCCTATGAATATAACATACAACGTATGATTGTTACGTTATAATGTTTGGATTACATACGGTGTATTTAATTTCGATATGGCTGTGATTTTAAATGATTTTTAAAACTTATATTTTGTATTATTGCTTAACGTAAAAACAAAATCGGAATAAACATTAATTGTATCCAGATATAATCATCTTCAAGGAAATTTAATTCACAACGGTAAAGAACATTGAATTATTTACAAACCCATATATAACTTGAAATCATACATTTACCAAAGCCGATATGACCACTAGACTCTGCTGCTGTCAAAGTATTATACTTGACTTACGAAAATCCAGATCAGAAACAACATGCAAAAGACTATCAGAGTCCGTCCGGTAAATCGAAGAGAAAGAAAAAGGAGGTTTTTTTCTAGAGTGGTGAAGGATGAAAGATAAAAATAAGGGACTTGATTAAAATCAACTAATGTGAAGTTTGATGACGTTTGAAAAAAATATTTATATCCGCAGTTTTCATTTTCGACCATAACAGTTAATATCTTCATTGGAACAAAATTGTTTAATTGTAGTTTTTTGATGTTTAAAATAACGAACGGTGTTTTAGTTCGTTGTCGTTCTGTTGTATTTTACCCTTCTGTTTTATTTTTGTTTTATTTCTATTACAGCGTTGCTTATATCTGCTGACAATAATTGTTTATGTCATGAAATTAAATTTCTTCTCTCTACACCTGTGATATTCTGGTATAAAGATTACAAATAATGACTACTTTCAATCATTTTACGTACTTAAGAGCAAATGTGGGAACCCAGATATCAATATATTGAAAACACACCTTATTCGGATCAGCTCCTTTGTCCAACAATATCTTAACGATGTCGGTATGGCTTCTACATGCTGCATCGGACAATGCACCAGACTGGGTAAAAAATAAGATCATATGAATAAATAAAATGAGAGTTAACAAGGATTATGTTATCACTACAGGTCAAAAACATCTTTTAGGATAATACAGTACTTGTGATATGTTTTCGTTGTTCTTAATCGGCCTGATTTATTTATTAACAATCATTGTTTTTTTATATTGATATACATTAACGACATTTTATAGACAGGAAAACATAGAATAATGCATATTTGATATAGTCCATATTGTGTCAACTACATCGCTTTGTAATAGTCAATGATCTGTATTCATTAGAAGGGTAACGGAACGGGACAACTGCCCAGCCCCACCGGCCCCACCAAAAACCGTGGGAAAACACTGCTACCCCAAAACCGCGGGAAAACATTTCCGCCACCCCACTCCAAAACTGCGGGAAAACACTGCTACCCCAAAACCACGGGAAAACATTTCCCGCCACCCCATACCCAGAACGCACGACAAACGTTTCAGGTGGCGATTTAAATGTTCGGGTAAGTTGATTATTAAATGTCCAGTTTATTTCTCTGGAACCCTTGAGGTCACTAGGTGCTCGATCTGCCGTTTTGAAAACCGCGCCAAATAAGAAAGGGCGCTAAACATTTCCCGAACTATTTGAAGATCCTTGTCAGAGATATGAAGATTATTAAATGTCGCTAGTCATGGTCTCAACTCTACAAAAATCACATCATACACACAAACCTATCCGTAAGAAACACTCATTTCAAATTAGCCACATACAAAAACCACATCATACACACGAACCTATTCGTAAGAAACAATCATTTCAAATTAACCACAGATAAAAACGGCATCATACACACAAACCTATCCGTAAGAAATAATCATTTCAAATTAACCACATACAAAAACCACATCATACACACAAACCTATTCGTAAGAAACACTCATTTCAAATTAACCATATACAAAAACCACATCATACACACAAACCTATTCGTAAGAAAAAAATCATTTTAAGGTAACCACATACAAATACACACAATCTCCCTGTATAAACCCACCCCCGCCAGATCTAAAAAAATGTTACCTAAAAACCGCGGGAAGTTGTACGAGATCAAAACACAAAACGTACGGGTGTCGATTTAAATGTTCGTGTCAGAGGATTATAACTAAAAGATTCACAGGGCGAAACTGTACGTGTTGTACCAGCTATTTATTTTATCAACACTATACATTAAAATACGATTACAGAGACACCACTAAATAAACTTGAAACATTTCACTAAAACACGAGACCGAAAACCATCGCCAATTTTTACCTAAGACCAGAAATCAATAAACCTAACACAAACACACCGTAATAATTATCAAACGTTCTATTCAATCCAAAACGTACAACAACACATTAGGTGACGATTTAAATGTCCGGGTAAGAGGATTATGAAATGTCCAGTTTATTTCTCTGGAACCTCTGGTAGCCGGCTGCTTTCAATACCGTTTTGAAAATCGCACCAATTAAGAAAGCGCGCTAAACGTTTCCCAAAACTATTTGGAGACCCTAGTCATAGATAAGAGGTTTATTAAATGTCGCTAGCCATGGTCCCAACTCCAATTTATTTTATCAACAATATACAACATAAAAACCCAAATACAAAGACACCACTAAAAAAACTTGAAACATTTTATTAAAACACGAGACCGAAAATCATCGCCAATTTGTACCCAAGACGGGGAAAAAAATCTAACACAAGCACACCGACTATCAGATACAATAAAAGAATATCAATAATACCATTCGATCAAAACCCAAAACGTACGACAGCGTTTCAGGTGGCGATTTAAATGTCTAAATAAAATTGGTTTATCTATTTTTCATCATACGAATGTCATTAAGGGATACATTTATACGTAATAAATTCTTATTTTTACGTCTTAAAGTAATCCTGAAATTATTACTGACGTCGAGCGACGTCAGTAATAACTTCTTGATTCCTTTAAGACGTATAAATGTATCGCTTAATGGCATTCGTATGGTAATATATGTAGAATTAAAGGGGGCACTATACTTACAGGCAAAACTACTGAACTCCAAAAGTCTATTACAAATAATATCATGACCCTTGCCACTCTATGTTGTTATCAACTTTTGTAAAGACAGGAACACACTTATTGAACTCCAAAAACACGGGAGAACAAATAATGCTTCAAATACATAGAGTAAAATTCAGTTGTTTTTTAAAGATGCATGAATGCAGGTATTGTATTGATTTTTTTCTGTCTATGAAAATTAAAAATAAAAAAAAGATATATATAAATGAATAAATATACGTTTAACATTTCTTGTAAATATTTAATGAGTATATATAAAAATTATTGTAGAATAATGTCACCTCTGTTTGTTCGAAATTATCAAACTTATTGCAGAGCTATCAAAATAGCGTACTATATATCACTTTAATAGGTGTATGTTTGTAGATATGGATTTATTTGTTTAACTATGTTAAATGTGTCTATATGTTGATAGTGTCCTGTGTAGTTCTATGAAAATTAAAAAAAAAAAATGGAAATAAGCTCCTTTCATTTCTATGTGCAAAAATGGTACAGTTATAAATAACAAATGTTTAAAAAATAAATGAAAAAGAAAAAAAATGAAATATAAAAAAATAAACAAGTGTCTATCATTTCTTTGTCATGAAGAAAGGTGTGTACAAAACCGTTGTAGAATATTTTCAACTATGTATGTTAAAACGATAAAATAACGCAGCTAAGTAAAATGCTATCAAACCTTGTGCTATATATATGTATCACTGGTACAGATATTTAGTACAATATGTCTATATGTTGATATTGTATTATTTATGTCTATGAACATGAAACATAAATAGAAAAATGATTGTCGAACATTTTTTAGTAGATGTTGAACAGGTATATATATAAAAAAAAACACCTGCTGTAGAACATTTTCATATCTGTATGGATGATAAAATTTATTTCAATGCTATCAAATTATTGACCTTTCTATCACTGTATTAGATGTACAGGTATGCACGTTTGTATTTAGGTACTTCAGTGTTTGTATAACAATGTAAAATATGTGTATATACTGATATTGTGTCGTTAATGGTTGTGAAAATAAAACCAAATGTGAAAAAGTAATAAATATAAATATGGAACAGGTATATGTATAAGATGTTGTAGAATATTTTCATCTCTGTTAGAAATGACAAAACTAATGTCAATGTTATCTAAGTAGTGTGTTATACGTCACTTGTTAGGTGTATGTTAAAGGTTCGTGTGTTAAGCTACCTTAAATGTGTCGGTATGTCGGCATTGTACTGTGTAAGTTTATGAAAATGAAAACAAAAAATATTAATAAAAATAGAAATAAATACGTGTCCTAAATTCCTTTGTAAATATGAAACAGGTTTATATATAAAATGTTGTATCTCTGTTTGAAATGCTGAAACTTATTTAAATGCTGTAAAAGTATTCTGCTATATATAACGCTAATAGATGTATGCATGGACGTGCATTTGTTTCTATGTTTCTAAAAAAAATCTGTCTGTGGTAACAAAAAGGAAATAATATACAAAAGAAAATAGACATAAATAAATAAGTGTCGAACATGTCTTTGTAAATATTGAACATGTATCTATAAAACTGTTTTTATAATATGATCATCTCTGTAGGAAACTAATTTCAATGTTATCAAAGTATTGTGCTATAATATCACTTTCATACGTATGCAGGTACGTGTGTTTGTATATATAACTGTGAAATGTGTGTATTTGTTTATATTATGTTGTTTATGTTTATTAAAATTAAAAACAAATTAAAAACAATAAAAGATAATGATGAAAAACAAATAAACCGATAAGTGACTTTATGTGTTTTAGATATGAAAATGTAGCAACATTTTTGTTGGTATAACTATTACATGCTATATGTGCCTATATGGTGGTATTGTGCTGTGTATGTCTATGAAGACGGAACAAGTCTTACATTTAGTTGAAGAGGAGGAAAGGTATAAATAAATATTGTTGTAGAATATTCATCTCTGTTTGTTCGAAGTGATAAAACTAATTCAAATGATATCAAGTCTTGTAATATAGGTGCATGTAAGGGTTTACATTTGTAACTTTTTTCTATGTTGATATTTTTTTCTGTCTGTGAAAATAGAAAAGACAGAAATTAAAAAGTAAGATAAATAAGCGTCTAACATTTCTTAGAAAATATGGAACAAGTATATACAAAAATTGTTGTAAAATGTATTCATCTCTATTCAAAATTATTAGCTAATTCAAATGATATCAACGTTTTGTGATATAAATTACTTTTTTATAGTTTTGCGTATGTAGTTACGTGTGCGTCTGTGTGTTTAAATGTTTTTATTAAATTGTGTATGTCTTTAAACACAAAAATCAAATAATGAAATAGAATAAAAAGTGTATAACATAAACTTTCCTTTTCCCTTGTAGATATGAAACAGATATATAAATAAAATGTCGTAGAAAATGTTCAATGTTATGCAAGTATTGTGCTATATATCATTTAACTATATGTATGTTTTAGGTATGTGCGTGTTTGTAAAAACGATGTAAAATGTGCCTATTTGCTTATTTTGTGTTGTTTATGTTTATCAAAATAAAGAACAAATATGAAAAAGTACTAAGAAAAAATGAACAAATGGCTACGATTTCTTTTGAAATATGGAACAGGTATATATATATAAACTAGTGTAGAATAGTTTCCCGTCGTATCATGATGTCAAAAACTACACAATAAATGTTTACCGGATCTGAATGTGTCAGGTTTTCATCAAGGTGACAATTCGTATGTAAGCTTAATCTTTGCATTCGTAAAATACTGATCGATATTTACTTGAAATGGCACTAAAAAATAAATTCGTAAGACATTTTTGAGAAACATGATTAATGGTACATTTGTTTGATCAAATATGTTAATCGTTAGTAATAGATCTGTATAATTATCTATATGAACTCTAAATATGCGATAAACAGAGCTCTTGTATC